CAAATTCTGAAATTGGCACTGGAATATTAGTGTTTATTCTATCTAAGTCATAAGATTTAATGTCCCATTAACTAAAATGCCAAGGTTTCAAACATAATAATAATTTTCTGAGTCTGTCAAAAAGAAAGGTTCGAATCTTCTTATAAATCAAAGTTACTATGTTATGTATCCAATATCGAACATATTCTATTTTATAATATAAACCTTTCTACTGTTTTATCCAGTAAAATATAATTTAATGATACAAAAATTTTAAAGTTAAAATGAAAAGTGATCTCTATGTTTAGGGCAACACAATAATAATAATTGTACTTTACAGGACATGCATAAAACAAACCTTGAAAAATACTGGCAGAATTTCGACTGGTTGATTCAATTGAATCTTTCTCTTCCCGGCTACCAGAGGAGCATTTACTAAGTATTTTTTTAAACATTTTTATATTTAATACGCCTCTCTGTTTCACAAACACGCGTTGGAGTTCAGTTTTTAATTAACTAAATGTTTAGAACCAGTCATAATCAAGGTTTGCAACACAATAATAACTCTCAGTTAAACACTGATACAAGAGTGTTCACTTACTAAATGTTGTGTTGATTCTGATATTACATTAGTTTTGTATTATGAAACTGTGCTTAGGCTGGGATTGGAGGAAACGTCTGTCCAGCTGAGACGGCTGAACTAGGATTGGTCGAAGAACAGTGTTAGAGTAACGCATGCGCAGAACATACATGGTTTTATAATATTCAGAAACATTTTTCTTATGTAATTTGGAAATATGAATAACATTTCTTGTTAAAAATTCCGCGTACTTCACGAACATAACTGGATCCTGACTGTACGTATTCACTTTACAAGTTAAGGCTGGAACTCTAGTTTACTTTAAAAAAGATAACTTTTAGGGGAAAAATGGCAAATGGGATTTTCTAGATTTTCCGTATTGATCTAACTGCGGACTATTTAAAGTTTATAGTTGGTTAGGGTTTAATTTCTAGATAATCTAAATAAAATACTGTAGATGCCACTTGGAAGTCGTGATCCAAATCATCCAAAAGGTAAAAAAAAAGAAAAAATTTTATGATTTTATGTCGTCTTCTATATGCTTCGCTATGATTGGTTGTTGCGTATTTCCCATCTAACCAATGAAAGAAGGAATACAGTAAATACGCGCAAATATTTGAAAAACAGCTGTCTGTATTTGGGATTCTATCAAAAGTAAATATTAGGTTGATGAGCTATTAGTTTTTATAGATTAAAAAATGCCGACAAGTGTTTGAGTCTGTTTCCAGCATGAGTGGGAACTTGAAAGTAAAATCACTTCTGCGTGATCTAGAAAGTGCACAACGGAAAGAAAAATGGAGAGAAGCGGGAGAAATTGCAAACCAACTTGGTTTTCTTTTTAGGCAAATCATGATTTTGTTTTATTTCTATGCAAAAAATATACAATTTAATATTTTGAAATTTATAAATTGGGTACAATTAACACAAAAATTGCTAATTTGATTATTCCTGTCATAATTTCTTTCCTTCCTCCTTTATTTCTTTTTCTTCTGTTGACTGTCCCTGATTCTCATAATTTTGAAAAAACAAATTTTGTCAAAAATCAGTATATTTTGGAAACTCAACTTTGCTAATTAAAGTATACATTTATGAGTAAATGATGAATTCATCAATTCATACTTCTCAATTTCTACTATCATTAATCCTAATTAAAAAAATTGCGCATATATCTTTTAGTCCTTTCAGTTAATCATTCGCCAATTTACATAAAAATCTTAATTACAAATGTTGTCCTCTAATTTTGACATAATTATTTGTTTGTCCAGTAAACGCAAGGATTACGATGATGCTATAAAGGTAAAATTTATATATCACATTTTATTATATTGGATTTGTCTCAAATTCTGAAATTGGCACTGGAAATATCAAAAAATTTCATGAAGAGTTTTTTCGGAAGTTGGACGATTATGTTCAAGGTGAAATTGTTTTAAGAATTGAAATAAGACTGATACGAGATTTTTCCTCTGTATACTGTTAGTTGAATTTCATGGCATAGTCGGGGGGGGGGGGGGGGTGTTCTGATTTACTGAACACCCCAATCATAGCCTTATTTATTGGATACATTTTTATTGTTTTTGATGTAAGTTTTAATTTTACGAAGTTGAATATCTTCTACATAACCTATTTTCCACTGAATAGTACATGTTCCCTCTCTTAATACGTGAAGAGTAAAAATTGCAATGCTTACGTTTTAATAAATATAGATTTATATTTTAATTTTATTATTTCCATTTAGTATCACAAGGAAGATTTGGGTATGTGTAGAAATCTGGAAGATACGGATGGGATGGCACAAGCATACAAGTAATACATCCATTAATCAGAAATCAATCTTAAAGGGACTGCAGACGTAATTTAAATTGTTTTTTATTCGTAGAAGGGAATATTTGATTTACAATGGTACTCTTCAAACCTCAGATTGATCCAGTATTTTTGGGGTTTTCTGATTTCGTCCAAAACAATGCTTTTAAGAAGTAATATCTACGTTTGAAGATATCAAAAGAATTTTACTTTTACTCTTTTTGAGTTTAAAAATACGTAAAATTTTCGTGATTTTCGAGAAACATACAAATTCCATTACGTTGATGAAAGTAACCAGAACAGTTTCCAGAGATGATATATTTATTTTATTTTATGAGTTAATTTTTTTAGGAATATTTGCGAAGTGCAAGTTTTGAAGGTATTATTTTTTATCTATTAAAAAAATTCTTATTTCTAATTTGTTTTGAATAAATTTTATTTCTGAGTGTAATTGGATTGGGTTGGAAAATATGCTGAATGTGATGCCGTTTGATGTTTACTTGTACTGCACTTGATTCGATTTAATATTGGGGAATGTGAAGGATGTACTGTGTATAGGTCTTACTAATATTGTACAATAGTTTCAGTAATAAAAATAATTCATAGAAAAGTATTCTTTAACCCACCACGGTCTGCGGTTCCATTTCGTTTTTTAAAAATCTATCCATTGTTTTTTATATTTTCTGCAGTCTGAAATTCTACCGAAATTGAAAAACAAAATATTGATTGATTTTCTGTCCTGATTCAATAAAATGGATTCTAATTGTTCTGGCATAGCTATGAAAGATGTTGAGGTTAAAAAGTTTTTTTATTTTGAAGAATGAATTTGCTGAAGCGGAGAAGACAATTTATAAATGTCTTAAACTTACAGAAGCAACAGGTAAGCATAAAATAACAATGATTATAAAAGTAATATAAAGCAACCGGTTAGCACATGATAACAATGTTAATAAAAGTTTTTAAAAAGCAATAGTTAATCAAAAAATAAAATGATAAAAAGAGTAATTAAAAAGTAGCAATTAAGCACATAATAACAAGAATACTAAAATTATTAAAAAGCTATATGTTAGCACATAATAACAATAATACTAAAAGTATTAAAAAGCAATAGGTCTGCACATAATAACAATGATAATAAAAGTAAAAAAGAACCACAGTTTAGCACATAACAATGATAAAGCATCAAAAAGCAATAGTTCTGCACATATCAACAATGCTAATAAAAGTAATAAAAAGCAACAGGTCTGGACTCAATAACAATGTCAATGAAAGTATTAAAAACAATAGCTCTGCACATTATAACAATGCTAGTTAAAGTAATAAAAAACAACAGGCCTGGACATAAAAACAACTATATTAAAAGTAATAAGAAGCCACAGGTCTGCAAATAATAACAATGATAATAAAAGGAATAAAAAATCCACAGTTTAGCACATTATACCATTGATAAAAGTATTAAAAAGCAATAGGTCTGCACACAATAACAATGATAATAAAAGTAATAAAAAGCAACAGGTCTGGACTCCATAACAATGTCAATAAAAGTAATAAAAAGCAATAGGTCTGCACATAATAACAATGCTAATCAAAGTAATAAAAAGCAACAGGCCTGGACACAAAAACAATTATAATAAAAGTAATAAAAAGCCACAGGTCTGCAAATATTAACAATGAAAATAAAAGTAAGAAATAGCAACAGGTTAGTAAATAATAACAATAATAACCATGAGCTTCTAAGCGAGCCAATTATTTCCAACATAATATTTGGTTCATTCGTTTATAGATGCTTGAGCTTCAGGCTGAGCCAGGATATATAAAACTATAAACTTTTAATAATTTAGGAGATTATGTGAATAAGGAGAGATCCTTCAAAATGTTAGGATATATTTATCTAAATCAGGCATAAAATATATTAAGATTATGTAATATCAGAAATGTCCAGACAGTTTTTTTACGCTAAAATCAGATAATTGTTAATCCTGATCTTCAAATAATGTCGATTATGGTTAAAATTATAATGCAATTAGTCTATTTTCCCATTACTTAGTAAGGAAGCAAAATCATCCTTATAAGAAAATAATTGGATTCTTGTCTTTTGAATATGTCTATTGTCAAACTCTTGTTTAAAAATGATTAAAATTCTTAATAATCTTAATTTTAAAATATTTTCTTTAAGTTTTTATAATCTATATAATGTATTTGAATTGTCTAGTATGATGTTGAAAATCAAGATCCTTCCTTATTATCCAAGGAAAATCAAGTTTTATTTGTATTTTTTGTATTTTCTTTTTTAAATGATTTTATGCTTAACCATAATCTAATATTTTTTATACTAGGAATTAATGGGGCTTCGCGCCCATCTTTTATTTTAAATTTTAAGTGTGGCTCTGTCTGTGAACATTGTTTTTCGTATAATATAAAACAAAAATAAAAAATTTCCATGATTATTATTTCTTTTCGTGTTTTTCAAAATTTTACGAAAATAAAAAAATTTTTGAGACAAATTTTGTTATTCAAGCATCCAATAAACCTTCTCTGGGTCATGTAGTTGGGCCATATCGGTTCAGCCGTTTTGACTTTCATTGGATTCAAACAAAAGATATACTGACAAGCAAAGTAAATATATACTAGATATTGGTTAACAATGACTTATCTTTTGTTTACAAAGAACTTCCCCTACCTCAAATACTCATTGGGAAAAGCATAAAAAAGTTGGTTAAAATTTGAGATTAAAAAGTTTTGATTAAAAAATGTCTTTCGTATCTTCGTTAATATTTTATTATTTTAATTATTTTTATTATTTTATTATTTTCATTTTTATAATTACTTTTATTATTATTATTATTATTTTATTATTATTTTTATTAATATTTTTATTACTATTTTATAATTTTATTATTATTATTACCACGTACGATGGGATTATTGGTTCAGATCTGGCTTGAATTTTTTAAGGATTTAGTGTGTAATGTGTATGCCAGTAAAGCATGGATACCCGGGGGTTAGATAAATTAAGGGGATGCTTCAAAGGAATTTACATAAAGCGTTACACACTTCCGCAGAGTTTTGTTTATTTGTAAAATGAGTTTTATAAAACCTATCCAGTACCGGATTCTTAATTCATAATTCTTCGTAAAAGTGCACTCTTCAGGCTAAAAACTTGATCTTCTTTAACAGTGCATAAAGTTTATAAAGAAATGTTTTAAACTGTATGAGGAACCTGGACTACAAGGCCTAGGATCAGAATTAAATGTAATGAAGGGTAGAGCACATGAAAATCTTTGTTTTGCCCACATTCTTAGGTAATTTCAGATTTATAATATTTTGCATAATTTTTTACGTCAATTTTTATTTGGCACTTCACATTTTTATTTGGCACACTGTACATTTTCTTTTTTTTTTCTTACAAAATGTTATAAATATTTTTGTTGTTGATAAATTAACACTTTAATTTGATTCAGGCCCTGTAAATAAATGCATTTCATGTTTTCTATTTGTCTATTCACCTTATCTTTATTTATTTCCATTCTTTGTTGATTATTATATCAATATTAATAATTGATTTTTTATTAATTGATTAACTTTGGTATTGATTATTGTACTGTACACTGTACACTGTACACTGTACACTGTACTCTGTACTCTGTACTCTGTACTCTGTACTCTGTACTCTGTACTCTGTACTCTGTACTCTGTACTCTGTACTCTGTACTCTGTACTCTGTACACTGTACACTGTACACTGTACACTGTACACTGAACACTGTACACTGTACACTGTACTCTGTACTCTGTACTCTGTACTCTGTACTCTGTACTCTGTACTCTTCTTTGTACTCTGTACTCTGTACTCTGTACTCTTGTACTCTGTACTCTTCACTCTGTATACTATATACTGTACACTGTACACTGTTCTCTTTACTCTGTACTCTGTAATCTGTACTCTGTACAGTTGCAGGGACCCATAAATGTAAAAAAAAATTGTTCCGTACACTATAGTGTTCAGTCTTCTCTAAAGTCTTATTTTTTGTGGGTAACCCTGTATTCTTTAAAGCTTGATTTAAAACTAAACTTTAATTATTTTACACGTAGCGGAAATGTGGAAGAAGGATCTCAGCATCTCAAGAACGGTAAATTAATTAATGACGTTAACCACGATGATTTTTTTTTCAAATGGTAACGACTTAAGTACGTTTCTTTCGATGATAGCGTTGTATTTAGTGCACTAGAAAATCTTAAAAATGGACATTTTTGCTTTTTATCATTTTACTTTATTATAAACAAATATTTATATCAATCCCTGTTTTACTAATGTATCAATTTTGTTTTTGTTTTTTAGCTGAACGTTTTCTAAAGGAGAACAAGATAGAGCTGGGTAAATTGTATCATGGTTTTTCAGCAAACCTCATCAGTGCAGGCAAGCAGAGAATAGATTCATAATAACCCTTTTTTTAAAGTGGAATGTCCGATTCATAACAGTACCTTTAAATGCTTCGTCTCGTCAAGGATGAATAAGTTATTCACTTTTAATAATATTCAATTGTGGTTTATCATTAAAAGTGATTTTTCAGGTTTATGCTATCAGAAACAATTTATAAAACTGTAATAAACACTTTCATAGTCTAGGAAAACGAAAACATCTTCAAGGCTTTTTTGAAAATGGTTTATAGGTTTAAAGGTTACCGTTTTAAATCGGATATTACCCATCTCGAATTTGAACTGTTACACATCAAATTTTTTTATTTTTACTCCAAACAATATTTTTAGGAGCTGCAGAATTCACTAAATACTCTCAGAAGGCCCTGGTTTATGTGGATAAAGCAATAAAGGAAAATTTACTTCAATTGCTGAATTTCATGGCAATTTGCTATGCTTTATAAATTGATTGATTATCACTAATCAGGGTGTCTGGTTTTTCAGTTCACAAAAGAATCAAAAAATTTTGTTCAGAATGCATACCATGTTAAAAGCTTTCAAATCTGTAAAATGTTGGAAAAGTTACATAACCCTATTTTGTGAGTCACCCTGTAGATATTTGATTGCTATTATTGAAGTAAATAAGTGATTGTGAATAGAATCTAAAGTCACGTGATGAAGAATACATAATGGCGGTTGTCACCAGAGCTAAAATTCTTCTACTCAACAAACAGTTTAAAGATGCTAAAGTATAAACTTCACATCTCAAAAAAATATAGTTGGACCCGTACAACCGTGAATTATGAAGAGGATTGTAATAGTTAAATACAAATAAAGCAATTGAATTGTGCAGAGACCGATTTCGTTTGATAAGTTAAATTTCAAGCTAGCGATAAAACTGTTTGATTTTTAACAAAGTAAAATTCAATAAGATTGATAAATGTCGTCCTCTGCCTTCTTATAAGTATAAAGGGTCCCACTGTATCAAATCATTTTATACAATCTTCTGCAATAATAATTCAGAAAAATATAAAAAATGCAAAAATAAATTTTTAAGATTCATATTATTTTAACACAGTCCCTCATCAGTACATTAATGATGATTGATTATATGTTTATTTGATGGAAATATTAAAAATAAAAAAAACTTTTCGTCGTATCCTAAAACTTGTGATCTGGATGTATTGGAGTCCCATCAGTTTGGCTTCCTGCATCTTAATCAATACCGCCAATTTATCATTTTTCTTTCCTATGAAAAAAGGTTTGGTTCTGGATTTTTTTTCCCTCAAATCCATGAAATTACTTCAGCTTAGTTTATAAACTTGCACAATATGAGGTCAAAATATAAACTTAAATTTATTCTAGTCAAGTTTACTGCTGGCGTACGAGGTAGATCCCAAAAACGAGAATGTGGCAACTTTTATCAAGGTACAGTTCTAAAATTGAAGAAAATGTTTAAATATTTTATATAAAATTTTAGGTGAAACCGTAGAGATAAAAATTAGCATACAAAATAAATGTCTTATGTTGATTTATTTGGTTGTTGTTTTGTGTGGGGGATGATAATTTCCAACCATGGGTGAATTCAGCTCTCATATCTCTGAAAAAAGTTTCAGAGCAAGTGACTTTTCTTTACCATACTTTTCTGCTCAAAATTTGATTTTATTTCAATTTTTGCTTAAATCAAAATGTGAAACTGGTTGAGAAATGAAGAAAACCAAAGCAATTTGTATGTTTACAAGTTGATCTATAAAACTCGAGTTTTCTCAAAAAACATCAATCTTCTTAAAACTAAAAATTTTTTCTATTTGTAAATTGGTTAAATTTTGGTTAATTTCTTTATTGTCTTTTTGAAAAATTCACGATTGGATATTTTCAATCTCCACATAGTACATCGATTGGCTCAGTTACATTTACTATAATACTTTTACTATAATCACAGTTGCCATAAATACTTTTGCCATAAGTTACACTTGTCATAAGTTACCCGTGCCATAAGTTACACTTGCCATAATGGTAACACTTACCATAATTACTCACACTAATACTGATACACTATTTACACTAATACTGATAGAGAGCTTGTTGAATAATCAATGACAATAGAGCTTGGTGAGGAATCAATGACAATAGAGCTTGGTGAGGAATCAATGACAATAGAGCTTGGTGAGGAATCAATGACAATAGAGCTTGGTGAATAATCAATGACAATAGAGCTTGGTGAGGAATCAATGACAATAGAGCTTGGTGAGGAATCAACGACAATAGAGCTTGGTGAGGAATCAATGACAATAGAGCTTGATGAGGAATCAATGACAACAGAGCTTGGTGAGGAATCAATGACAATAGAGCTTGGTGAGGGATCCATGACAATACAATACTTTTCGATAGAGCAGTATCTCAACCTTATTGCTCATGAGCTGTCCCTTCATTAGATTTATTATTTGTAGTCCCAAAAGTTATAATTGTAGTTGTTTAATCCAAAAAAATATATATTATATTTATTGCAAGTGTAATTTATGGCAAAAGTATTATGGCAAATATAACTGAGCTCATCGATTATGTCCACGCCATCTCTCAAGGTTATTTAATTTCTTCGAGTTGACGCCATTTTATGTCAACAAATCCAGTTAAGAATAAAAGAAAATTGAGATGTATTCATAATGGCTTTCAGGTTGTTAAAAGAATATTAAAAGAGGAGGAAATATTGCTCTCAGGAACAGATCATAAGTCCTATGAACTAATTGGAGATCTAATCGGTGGAACCAGGGATACTCATTTTCTCTGCATTTTTTTATCCTAAATTAATTATTATATAATATCCTTTGTACCCAGTATTGGATCAAAAGGCCTTCCAACATCATTTAATATCTTAAATTGAAACTGCAATCAAAATTTGGATTTATCTTTTCAGCCATAATTTTTTGTTGTACCTATATTCTTGTTGAATTATCAAAGGATGGGGTACCCTACTTAAAAAAATGTTTATTATGTTTTTTTCTTAGAAATTATTCTATGAAATTAAATGATGAAAAATTATTTTTAAGGGAAATATATTGATTTTGGGTAAACAGTAATTATCAGGGTGGAATAAACTTACCTTTTCATGTGTAAGTTCCCTCTCCCGGGAAGGTGGTTAATTTGAGAAAATCTATCAGAGCTTGAAATTAGTATTGAACCGATTCTGAACAACGGAGATAAAAAAGCGTTTGCTTATCTCAGCATTCAATATTATCAAAACAGGGAACATTACTCAATATATAATCATTATCATTACGCCTGTGCTTAGGATCCGGATCCGGATATATGGACCTGGATCCAAGGGGCAAAATATGAAACAAAAACCAAAAATCTTTAAGTAAAGTTCCATGACCTGGATGCAGATTAATTTTATTTTAGGGCGGATCCAGGATCAAGATCCGCATCAAATCAAAATTGATCCTAAGCACTGATCATTATTATTATTATTCTTAATATTCTTAATATTATTTAAATTCAACTCCAGGATAATCTTGAAGGTTTTATCTGGGACCGATCTTAATGAATTGAGAGAGGTCTTTGAACTTACCCCTGCTGGTTCAAAATCTATATCACTGATTCAAATCCTAATAGATTGCTTTAAAATATAATAAATTCGGTACCAGGTTCCCTAAAATATCCATCCACTCCTTTTCTAAACTAGTATTTGGTAGCCATCTTGTTGATACATTGCCATGTAACATTATTATTACGTAATGTACTGCATCAGTCTGGAGGCACTGCTGAAGGACGGAGAACATGATAAACAAAAAGCCTCTGCCCTCCACAGTAGTATTGCTCAGGAAACCATTCATATAGACGGTATTTCAATTATTTTAAGGAAGGAATACAGAAGCAACCCTCAATTTAAACAGCAGGACCCGACAGCAATTTTACTTCTAAAGAAAATAAGAATTTGGTGAATTCCCCCAGATTCTCAGATATATGGTGAATTCCCAAGATTCCCAGATATTTGGTGAATTCACAAGATTCCCGGGTATTTGGTGAAATCTCATGATTCACAGATATTCGGTGAATTCCCCAGATTCCCAAATATTTGGTGAATTCCCAAGATTCCCAGATATTTGGTGAATTCACAAGATTCCCAGATATTTGGTGAATTCACAAAATTCCCAGGTATTTGGGGAATTCTCCAGATTCCCTAAATTCCTATGGGAAATTGAGGGTGGTTAATTTTTAAGATTTGGAAATTTCCCAAATTTAATTGAGGTGAATATTAATTTTTTTGTGTTTACCGGCTGAGGTTAATGAAACTTGTCTGAGTAATAGTGAATTGTCGTTTTTCTATCTTGTTCTTCACTCTTTCAGCAAAATGAATCTTCAAATCACTTTTGAATAAGAAATCCTAATCATAAGAACTTGAATACTTGAATACTTGAATACTTGAATACTTGAATACTTGACCGGATGACAAAATATTAAGAAACGACTATCGTTTTCTATCAAAGTTGAAGTTTGGGATATAGTTTATATATAATTTTGTAATTATATCAAACTACTGAAACAATAGGCAGTCTTAAAGGCATATCTAACATTTTGAAATAGAAACCCCAATAGAAAGTTATACATAAGTAGGTAGAAAAACAGGTTGAAAGAAGGTAGAAAAACAGGTTGAAAGTAGGTAGAAAAACAGGTTGAAAGAAGGTAGAAAAACAGGTTGAAAGTAGGTAGAAAAACAGGCATGTGTCGCACATTCTCAATCAGACTCAGGTTTTAAGAAGTTCATACTTCTCCTATGGTTAAATATGGCAAAGTGTAAGAAACAATTATGAATTAATGGTATGTTAGTGTTATGAGGATGCACGAGACTATGAGATGGCTTTAACCAAATATAAAGAAGTTCTTCAGATGGAGATAGGGAGACCAAGAGATCAAAGTATCACACAGTAAGTAATAACATATTTTTTTGGTTTAGTAAATCATCTCTACGTCGCTTTCTTGAAACTGCTAGTATAACAAATACAATTAAGACCGTGGAACATGCCGTTTAGTGGTCAAAAGATAGAAGAACCATTGTATTAATTCCTTTTTTTCCTCATCGGTTCAGGAGTTTTTATGTTTTTTTGAAAATCTTGTACCCACCCCCGCCCCCTCCATTTTGAAAATAATTTTTCCATGGAATTAAAAAAAATTTAAGGGTTTCATTCGCCAAATTTGGTTTTAGGGGAAATAATTATATTTTTGGTAAAAACGTATCAAAAAAGATGAGAAAAAACTTACCTTTTTTGACAGGCTTAGGAGAAAAAAACTTACCTTTTTTGACAGTGCTTAGGATCCGGATAAAAAAGCGGACCCAAGGTGCAAAAATCAACCAAAAACTGCAAAAAAAAATGTTCAGTCTCAATACCCAAATCTGAACTATTGGAAAAAGAGAGATTATTTAAATTTCATGATTTCTGAATGGTTCATCAAAAAAATAAGACAAAATTTTAAAATTCTGCTTTGCTTAAAAAATTCAGTAAATTTTAAAGAAATTACCTGGATCCGGGTCCGGATCAATTTTGATCTAGATCCGGATCCGTTTTTTTAGTGCGGATCCAGTATCTGGATCCGCATCGAAATTTAATGGATCCTTAGCACTGCTTTGATGTCTAATTTTTTTCCTCTCTGATCAAAACAGTTTGAATTTCACGCTCAATTCAGTATTATGACTTTACTATGACTTGAAACAATAAGAAATATATGCGATGTAATTGAAGTCCTACAGCTAGGGAAAATACTAGAATCAAGTTGTCACAGAATACTAAAAAATAAGATAGTTAATTCTTGCGCACTCCTCAGGGATGAGCAGGAAATTTTTAAGAGAATCTGCATAGATACAAAAGGGCAAAAAACAATTAATCTTTAGGTCCCATATTGTCAACAATCTAGAGTGTTTGAAGGCAGAAGAGGCAATTATCATCAGGAAATTTTAATTTTCAAAATCTTTATTCTTGCCAGTCTGATTATTATTGTAAAAATTTGTTCAAGACTATAAATTTCTTTTGAAGTCTTATGTTTGGTTCGTCACAAGAGTCGAGTTGTACAATGTGCGTATTAATAAAATTAGTCCTACATTTTTGTTAAAGAGTTAGGTCGTCTTCATTATTTCCCCTTGAAATTTTTTAATCCTTTTATTTGCATTTAATACCAATATTGAGAATTTAAGTTGTTGAGTTTAACTTGATAAACCAATTATAACATCTTTTTCTATTTCTCTAGGTTTTTAACAAAAATGTATTTTCGAACATATATTCCATTGGTTTAAAAATTAAAAAACTTAAAAGCGAGTATGAAAACTGGATTAGTTTGAGTAAGAGGGCTGGGCTTAAGTTTGAAAAAGATGCGCTACAGGTTTGTGCAATTATTTTTCATTAAGGTTTTTTTACAAAACAAATTAAAAACGTTTGAATTTGTCTATTTATACATAGATATATGAATGACTTTTCTTAACTTTGTCAGGCTGAAAAGCCTTGATCAAGGATTCCACATGTATTTTCTAACTTCTTGAATTGAATTGAATTGAATTGAATTGAATTGAATTGAACTGAATTGAATTGAATTGAATTGAACTGAACTGAACTGAACTGAACTGAATCGAATCGAATCGAATCGAATCGAATCGAATCGAATCGGAAAGAAATGGAAATAAGATTTGGGTTAAGAGTGAATAAAAGGTATAACAGCTTGAATATTGTAGCCACAATTCTAATTTTTTTCTTTCTATGAAGTGATTTTTTTGACTTTTTGATATATTCCCTGAAGTCGAGTGCAATTGATTTAATACATCAAGCTTAACTTTTGAATGGTGGATATCGGGATTAATGCTTGATCCACTCTTTTTCTTGATCTCGAGATTAGATATTGCTTGTTCTCTTCTTATTTTTAATCTTGATCAATTTACCGATCAAGATTAAGGATATCCCACTCTAAAGTTTTCAGCTCTGAGCTGAAAACTTTAGAATGGTGTATATCGGGATTAATGCTTAATCCACTCTTTCTTAATCTCGAGATTAAATATGGCTTGTTCTCCTATCATTTTTAATCTCCAGAGCTGGGAACTTTTGATTTCTGGATATCGGGATTAATGCTTGATCGACTCTTTTTCTTTGTCTCGAGATTAAATAAGGCTTGTTCTCCTCTAGTTATTAATCTCCAGATTAATTAACTGATCGGGATTAAGGATATCCCATTCAAAAGTTTTCAGCTCTGATTAATTATCCGATCAGGATTAAGGATATCCCATTGAAAACTTTAGAATGGTGGATATCGGGATCAATGCTTAATCCTCTCTTTTTCTTAATCTCCAGAGCTGAAAACTTTAGAATGGTGGATATCGGGATTAATGCTTAATCCACTCTTTTTCTTAATCTCCAGATTAAATATGGCTTGTTCTCCTCTCATTTTTAATCTCCAGATTAATTATCCGATCAGGATTAAGGATATCCCATTCAAAATTTTTCAGCTCAGATTAAATAATGCTTGTTCTCCTCTTGTTATTAATCTCCAGATTAATTAACCGATCGGGATTAAGGATATTCCATTCTAAAGTTTTCAGCTCTGGTAATGTGATTTTTTCATGGATTTTTTCGTAGGAGTTTTGTAGATTTCTGAAGGAGGCTGATAGGGATTCTGAATACAGAAGAAGAAGGTGATTAGTTATATTTGTTTTGCTTTGTAATGATCAAACAATTAAAACAATAGGCATTCAAAATCCCATTTCTCACATTTGTTTTAAAAACTCAAAAATATTTAATTTGAGACAAACCATTCAGGATAAAGTTGAAATTCTTTTGTAATATTCTCATGTTGATCCTTTGTGGATATGTGGGGGGGGGGAGGAGTGGGGGGAATCTCTAATATATTGGGTATTATTTTATGGTTTTGAGTTGAGTAAATCAAATTAAGCAGGCCAGTCTCAACAAAAACCACCCAAATCAATTTAAACGGTTCATATTCAATTTAAGAAATTAAACTGTTAAGCCGATTACTGTCCAATTCAGTAATAGTTCCAGAATAATATATTTGAATTTTTTTTGACCTTTTAACCATATTTGTTATAATTTTTTAATTGCAGCAGTATCTATATGGCAAAAGGTCCTCACCTTATATTTGTCAGAACAAGGCTGATTTTGTTATTTTTGATCTCATGAAACCTTACATAGACTCAAATATATATATATATAAACTCTAACATTCGTGGATTTCTATATATATATATATTTGTACGTTTTAACATTTATTCATAACACTGTATTTGTATATTCTTTTTCTTAAATAAAAGTTTGAAGAAGAAGAAAAACATTTTGTCTAGTCACATTTTACCTAGTCACAATTTTACTAGTCACATTTTTTCTTTATTTATTGCTTTATAAAAACATCAGTAACACTAGAATGCGTTTATGTCGTCTTCCTATTTCAAGAGCGTTATGGGTCCGACTGTAGGAAAAAGTTTATTATTGTTAGAGTAAACAAAGATAGCGTAAATGTGTACTTGAGTACAAACGGAATTAGGTAGATGTTGATTTTAAAAGCATTTCATACACTAGGCTCTAGTATGAAAGTTATACATGAAGTATGTAAAAGAAAGCAAGCATAAACCTGTTTTCTATCAGCTTTCTACTAACTCAGTGACCTCTACGACAGAATAGTATATATTATAATGTGATTAACATTCTCATAGGAATATAATTGAATATATCATTGGTTTTATCACAGAATAAGATAAGGTTATATCATAGGAAGTTTTATTTTCTCTGCATATAGGGAATAGCAGATTTTCTGTATTTCTCCGTTCTAGCATACCTGACAGTAAATACTTCAACGTTCCGTAGCTGGTGGTTGTGAGTGACTGGTTCTACCGGGAATAGGACAGAATGTCTTTATCTATAACTATTTATCTCCATTGTTCCAGTGGTGAGTTGGATCTTGTGTTGGATAAACTAGGAGAAGATCAAGATTATCAGGAGGAGGAGGACATATCTGTTAGTCAGAAAAGTGGAAATGGTAAAATATTTAACGGATTCTATTCAAGGGTTCGGGGCTTTAACTTTCGTGGAATATTTACGGTCAGTTTTAGAATTCAGGATTCTAAATTTTTGGGGAAAAGTTTTTTAATTTTTGAAAGTTATTTTACGATTTTTTAAAACCTTGATTTAAACTATAATGCTGCAACAGAAATAATTTGATGTTTCAGAATAATTTTTTTTAGACTTTTTTTCTTTAAGATGAGGATGTGAATTTGCTGCAGATGAAATATTTTGATATTAACGAAATGAATTTGGTTGAAATAAGGGTTTGAGTTGGGAACTCTAGTGTCTTAATCTTAATCTCAATATTCACACTGGGCTTTTTTGAATTTTATGCAGAATCTGCTAGATCTCTTGACTTTAGATATCCGTAATTTCTCCTTTTTCTCATAAACTCAACATTTCATAGATTCTAATTGGGTGTTGTTCTTTTTATCCACATATGACACTCGTTGGAACATCGAATGAAGATTAAATTATTCTGTAGATTAACAAAAGATCCGAGATCAAGCACTGATCTCGATATCCATTAATTCCCACCGCAGAAAGGATTGATTGCAGTTGACTTTATTTTTTTTATTTTTTTTTTTAACAAAATGTTTTTATCACAGATTTGTTAGCTGGTGTAGAGGTTGATACAAATGTAGGAAGACCAAAAAGAAACACAGGAAAACACAAATTTACAAAGGACAATAAGGTAAAATAAAGAATACCCTTTAACGCTGTGTCTGATCAAAAATATATGAGCTATTCATTATTTTCTTTTTGAAAATGGAAATGAGGTTTTTCTGTTTTTTTGGCTTGCGGTTTCAGTCTGAAACAATGGAGAAAATTATTATAATTTAACACTTTTCAAGTTAGACAAACAACAATATCTTCCACATTATTGATCAGATTTTAAGGTACTTTTGTTAATCGGTATGCGTTTTTTAAATGAAGGGTCAATCCAAATAATATAATAGTCCCTAAAGGGATAAACCTAAAAAGAGAGGGGGGGGGGGGGTATTTTGATAGATAAATATTAATTGGGATTTAATGAATTTGAGCTACGGTTCAACCATGTATGTTGACCCGATGATTCAAAATTTGTCCTACAGATGTAAACTCCACGACAGTTAGTAGCTCAGCGGCCTAGCTCAAATTCATAAAGTTTGTTCCCTGGAACACTTTTTGTTTAGGGTCAGTGGAATCTGCATCGTCTGGTTCGACTAGAGGGTCGGGAGGAGGCAATTAAAAGTGATATTGAAAGAGGACATCCTTTAGGTACATTTCTATTGGAAACTAATAAATCATTTTTAATCGTGCCAAAGGCGTACTCAGAACAGGTTGATAAAGTTAATGTATGGTTTCCAGGTTTGTTTGGGCCCCAATGGATGCTGAGCCTTCTGGAAAGAATTCTTTTAGCCCCCCCCCCCCCTTGACAAATTCCTGAGTACGCCCCTGAATCGAGCATTTATATTCCTTTTTTTAACTTGTAACTTGTTGGGTAATTTCTAGGTAACAATGTAGCTTGTTGAGAACAATGTAAGCTACATTATAGCTTCAAAGTTTTCTTTAAATATAAGATATAGCTTGTTTGAAAAATTCAATTTGCAACGGAACTGTTAAGGAAAACTTTGGGGTAGAATGTATTTTTTTTAGTAAAATCTAACTAAGGATTTTCCCATGGAATGATTAATGAGCATGGCTACTTACTCTTGAGTACGAAAGAGCCACTAAATATTTTTTTGTCTTCCAATATGACCTGCTTTATAGAGGTAACTGACAACTGTGGTTGGACCCCTTTAGGAGACTGTATGGAGAGAGGGATCCTGGCTTATGTCAAGGTATAACAATTAAAAGAATAAACCCTCCCCGGTCACTTTTTGTGTTTAAAAGAAGGCTTAGTCGAGACTAAATTTAATCAAGGCCAAATAAACAATCTTTAAAATAATTGTTGAAGTGCATTTCTTGTCAAATTTTTAATGCTAAAATGTTCTTCAATTTTAAGATAAATATATATTTTATGATGCCTGAAGGAAACTGACAACGTAATTTCAAGTGATAACCTTTTAAACGGGATTTTTTAAGCGGTTATCTTATAATCAACGACTAAGACATCCGTATTTTTCTAGCTTGAAATAGAGTGCTCTCCGGATCTAGTGACAAATTAAGTGCACTCTGGGACCATATGACGTCAAACTCACGGAGGGTTTTTATTCGAGTTTCCCTACACTTGATTTCCAGCTAGAAACCTGTCAACTTTCCGTAGTAGATGATTTGAAGTGAACCCGTGTGTATGAGACGTACTACTTTATAAATTAACTAGCCTCATAGGGCGCTTCGCGCCCATCTTCTAAATTAATTGTGAACATATTCTTTTTGTGTACATCGTAAAACAAAACAAAAATAATTCGCGGATTTTCACAAAAAATTTCGTGGATTTTTAAAATTTTCAAAAATTTAATGAAGATCGAATTTTGATGGAGACAAATATTTGAAATTTTGATCATTCATAAACCTTCCCTGTGGTCACGTGATGTCCCACAAAAAATTTGGGCCCGATCGGTTCAGCCGTTTTGAAGTTTATTGGATACAAACAAACAAACAGACAGACAGACTTAGTCTGTCTGACTAGCCAAATTTATATATAGATTATAAATAAATTATCACTGGTAAATGACTCCTAGAGTCCTTATAATTTTAAGAGACATTGTTAGAAGTTTTTGTATTATGAGGTTCTTTTGGAAAATAACCGTGATGTTAATAAATCCTATCCTCCTGTATGTTTAGTTACTGGTTGAGGCTGGAGCTGATATTGATAAAAGACAACCTGAGGACGACACTCCTCTAATATTAGCCTCTAGAGCAGGATTCTTAGGTACAGATATTTTATTGTGGCCCTTAATAGAGTCATAAGTTTTAAGCTCTAGTCAGTCAGGATCTCTTCCATTTTGATGCGGATTCAGATTTAGGTCCTGGATCCTGATTTTAGATCCTGGATCCTGATTAAGATCCTGGATCCTGATTCAGGTCCTGGATCCAGATTCAGATCCTGGATCCAGATTCAGGTCCTGGATCCAGATTCAGGCCGTGGATTTAGATTCAGGTACTGGATTCAGATTCAGATCCTGGATTCAGATCCTGGATCCTGATTCAGATCCTGGATCCTGATTCAGATCCTGGATCCTGATTCAGATCAAGATATGGATATTAGGAAGGTTTTAATATTTGGATCCATATATTTTGCTGATTCTGTTCCAGGGAGCTGCAATGTTTCAAATTTTAATAATAAGTAACTGTGGTTTATCAGAGATGGAATTTAAAGAATTTGAGCCGCGGTTTAAATCCACCAAAACCCGGTTTAAATTAAGCGCCGGCTTAAATCTTAAAACATTTAATACAATTTTAAGTGGAACCAACCATATTTAAGCCGCCGCTCAAATTCTTTAAATTCGGCCACAGTATATTTAAATCCCTTGAGTCTTGTCTTGATGTTTAGCCCTAGCATATAAATGTTTGTAAGACTACTTGATTCGGCGATTCATTTGTTTAATTTAGTAATTTAATAAATCTGTTCGTTTTTAGATATAATTGAGTACCTGTTGTCTGCGGGTGCAGACCCAACACTCCCAAATAAGAAGGGTTTAACATCAATTGCTCTTCTGAGAAGACATCGGCGAGATCTAGAATATGAGAAGGGAGAGGAGAATGAACAGAATATCCGGGATTTAGATCGACTTATTATGTATGTATAACAGAATATTTGCGATTTAGACCGACTTATTAAGTATGTAGAACAGAATATTCGAGATTTATACCGACTTATTAGGCATATATATGAAAATATTCGAGATATAGATCGACCTACTAAACATGGAGAACAGCATATTTTAGATTTAGACCGACATTAAATATAGAACAGAATATTCTAGATTTAGACCGACATTAAATATAGAACAGAATATTCTAGATTTAGACCGATATTAAATATAGAACAGCATATTCTAGATTTAGACCGACGGCTTATTAGGTTTATTTAATTACAATAAAGAGCCTCATTTTTCATCTAATTGGATTTAGTAGAAGAGTGAAATTAAATTATTATTATTGTTCAGGATAATTGAGGAGAAATATCGAAGTTTGGGCAGAGAAGTAGATTCAGCAGTTGCTCCTTCAACTTGTTCAAACTCTTTGGTAAATATATCTTTACAAGGCTTCATTTTCTAATAACCATTCTTGAAGAAGTTGCCATTTTTCTTCGTACTTCAACAAACCTAAATGTCGCGGATTTTTCTAAACACTTTCATATGTCATATAGTTGAGGTCAATCTCAAACTAAATCTTTTGTTTGAACTAATTTAAAACATCAGCATTCTATTGAAGCAAATCCAAGGTTGGAACATGGTAACAAAATTACATTATTTAAGGAACAATCCTCTCAAGAGATGTCACCTTGTGTTCCCAAAAAGAAAGGGAAAATGGAACAGCTTAGAGAACTTAGGGAAAAATTGAAACAGTTGAAAAATTAATCTCTATTCCCCTCTTTTTAAAGTGTAGAATGGCTTTATGCCTACAAACAAAACGATTAATTTTTGTTCAGTTAGCCTTGACTTTTTTGTTTTACAATTCTAAACTAAATAACAACAAAAATAATGGAACTGGTATAGATGAGAACTATAATAAAAATCAATTTTTATCCTGAAGACAAAACCGAGAGAAGAAAGCTGCAAAGTCTCTTAAAAGCAGATTTGGTTCAGGCAAGGAATATTTTTTTTAAATCAAGGTTTTTTACTTTTTAATTCGTTCAGGGTATATGTTTTCTTGAAAAATCATTCCCATTACCTCTTTTTGAAAATTGCCCCCCCCCCAGATGTTAAGTACGAATCGCATCGATAATATCTTTCACATTTTTGATCAGATAAAGGTTTAAAAGGTACCGTTGGGACTCGGACATGCCCATCTTCAACGCATCTTTGATCAGAGGCCGAATTTTAAGAATTTGATCCGCGGCTTAAATTTGAGACTCGGCTCAAATATGATTGGTTCAAATTAAAATTGTGTTAAATGTTTCAAGATTTAAGCCGGCGCTTAATTGAAAACCGGTTTTTGGCGGATTTGAGACGCGGCTTAAATTTAATAAATTCCGACTCAGATAAAGATTTAAAGGTTACCATTGGATCTTTCTATAGTAACCTTTAAACTCCACGCGATAAATTTAAATAAACCTAAAAGTTAATATTCTTGTCTTTTATAGAAGATGACCTGAAATCATCTTATCAAAGTCTTGGATCAAGAAGACGTGCTTGGTCTCCTGAACCCTTCCAAAGATCAAGATCAAGATCAAACTCTCCTGATACTACCTTTAAATCAGGAAGACGATTCAGTTCTCCTGATGAGGATGGAGGAAGCTCGGACGATCAACGATCTCCTTCTAATAGGAATGAACATATGCATAAATTATGTCATTTGGTTTGGGGTGGGTGGCTGCTTAATGCTAGTTACGCACCTGTTTTATCATTTATGAAAATCAGAAACGAATTTGCTCAGATCTTAGCGTGTGGGTCCAATGAATTGTGTCTTAGATTTTCCAAAGTCATTTATACTCCGTCCTCCCTTTAGTTGCCCCTTAATGAGGACTTGTTTGAATTGTTAGAATATGGTTCTTTGAGTAGAATGACATACAAAACAACTCGAGAAAGTTCGGACGATGAGAAGGAAAGGTCGTCTTCTCCAATTTTATCCTCCCAGATATTTTCATTTAAATCTCTCAAGGTTAGTATCAATTCTAACACCTTTTAAAATGTTTTCAGAAAATTTATATTATCATTTGCTTTTGTAAGGAATGTACTTTTTGTGAAGTAAATTTGTGAACGGTAAGGGGATATCAAACTATTTTCAAATGACTTAAAAAAGGGGCATGCCCATTGCCCAATTCCCACCAGTACTTGAATATCCTTATGGCACGATCTCAAGATTGATGAATTTCAATTTTGGTTTCTCTTATAGAAGCAACTTGCGTATGTATGCAGTAGAGAAGAAGACGGAAATTATGTTAAATTTACCACTTTTCCAGATAGATATTTTTTCTCATGTTTACTGTAAAAAATCGAAAGGGCTACCGCTGTGAATTGGCCATGCTTATTTTTTTTTAACCGGAAGTCATTGAAGAGTTTTGTAAGCAGTAATTTTACTAGTAACATCTTTGAACAAGATATAAGGACGGACGGGTAAAATTGATTCCCACAAAAAAAAATCGACTTACAGATTGATTGATTGATTTCTAAAGGTTTCCCAGTCCCGAGGTGCCGGAAAGCTGAAGCGTAAATCAAGTTTTCCAACATCAACTGAGATCTCGTGTTCCCCCGACCACCTACCAGAAATACCAACCCAGTCCTGGTTCGTCCCTGATCAACTTCCGGATACATCAACCCAGATATCCTGTGCTCCTGAATATCTACCGGATATCCCGGATTATTCACAAATTCACAATCCTCCGGCACCAGGTCTTCATTAAAAATTTTTTATTTGGTTTCAAAACTAAAATTGTTGCAATTTTTTTATCATCTATTTTTAAAAAAAATAATTTTCCTCCTGCTTTATCATCGCTAAATAAGAGGAAATAAGTAATTTTCCAAAATAGAGGTCGTTTTTGCCACAAGTATTAAAATAACTTGTAAGTTGAAGTCCAATTTTTTCTTTTTCTCATCCAAGCCTTTTTATGCCTAGAAAGAGGGAAAACCCGTTATTACTGTGCTTAATTTAGATGTAATGGGAGCTGATGTTTATCAGAATGTGATGGAAGGATTACGGCATCCTAATCGTCTTTCACTCAAACCAGCTCAGGAATGGATTTTTAAAATTTCTCAATCAGAAAAAAAAAGTTGACGTTATCAAAGGTTAAAATCATGCATGTAAATTTTCTCAAAAACTAATTTTTTTTGCCCCTTTTGAAAAGTGTTTCTCCCAGAATTTACATACAAAAACTTATAGATAAAAAGATGAGAAAAGTTGTCTTTTTTTATGGCCAATTGTTAATATTTTCCCGCGGGGAGGTGGTTAATTTTGAAAAATATACACCCCTAGTTGAAATCATCATACATTGAAATCTCTCTCTGAAAAAAGTAAAAATATAGCAACATTTATGTTGTATTCACAGTTCAATAAAAAGTTTTGGTCTGAACTAGGTTCTTAATTTAAATAAATTCTTTCAGGTTAAAAATAAATTTTTCCATTCAGAAACTAGTTCCTAGGCGAGATATTGATGATTCTAATGATTTCATGGAATTAGGTGAGACTTCGTCAATATTGGAGCTTAATAAAAGAGATACCTAATTGATTCGTAGTTTTAAAAAAGGGAAAGTTGTGTTAATTTATATTACCAAAAAACATGATTAATATATTTAGGTTATGTTATGTTAGGTGCCATGATGTTTTTGAATTCTTAAATTAACGCTGTATTTTGGTATAATAATGATTTAAAAGTTAAGCCATTGTGGAACACAAATGGGTGCGGACCGGAAGCAATGTGGATAAGCGCTGCTGAAAATCCATGCGTAAGAGTCGATTGTGCACAGGAAGTCGGTTGCGGTGTGCCTCCTCTCCCTTCGGGGGGAGGGTGGTTGTTTTTTATTGACTGGTGAAGGGGGGAGAGGATTAAAAAAATTATTACAAATTTTTATTTTAGACGATTCTGATTGGCTGGTTGATGACCTAAAGGAGGGACAACTAGAGAAGGAGAGGAAAAAACGAGAGAGAAGTTCTGAGGAAAAAAGACCGAGCAAACTTAAGGTCTTTATGCAATTCTTAACCTTGTGTATTTTTTTTGTAACATTATCTTTTAGAGACAGAAGACAACATTTTAAGTAAAACCTCCATTTAAAAAAGAGTGGGACGTACGATTCACAACAATGTTCTTTAAAAATTATCAGATACTACGGAAAACCCCACAATATCTTACTAATTGTCATTCAAAGAAAGATATTAAGGGTACCCTTGTGAATCAGACATGTCACCATGTAAATTAAGGCTAACTGAAAGAAATTGAAAGTACAACTTACGTCTTACAAAAAATGAGGCCATCAGTTTAAAGCATTTCTAAATACTGAGCATTTTTGGTATCTGTTTTGTTAAGCTATCGGTTTTTTTTTTGCAAGTAAATGGGTTTGTTTTTTGGAGGCCCTGAATTCATTTTATGAAGTCCGATAGCATCTGTAACCTCAGTCAGGCAAAAATAAAGGTTTTTAAGAAATGTGAAATCGACTACATAATTAGTTAGAATATGAAGTCTATTGATAGACCCTCATTATGATTTTGAATAATCAAATTCTATTAAAACAGCAAAATTGCATTTTACAAAGACACATTTTCATGCTATTTGCTTCTCAAGAACATCAAATACATGTAACATTGTTCGAAAGTCGTCTTCCTTTTCCACAGTTTTATGTGTCTCACTGTAATTTAGAGGAGACGAGGATCTAAAGAGAATGCAATTTCTCTGAGATTAGATCAGGATCTTCATGATGACCCAGATGATGAAGACCCTGAACCTGTTCTTGTTGATGAACTACCTAGTCCTCATTCAACTCAATACAGCACAATTTCTAGATTAAATAAACTGAAAAGGGTAGGTCTCAAGGTTTATACATTTTTCAACATACTTTGTTCAGAATTGTCATTAGAGACGTAGACAATTTTATTAACAAATAATATAGAAAAATGTTTTTAATTGGCTAAATATCATATATATATATTTTCTACTGGACTCTAGCTAGCACCTGAAGAGGGATTTATGGGTTTTTTCAATGAGGATTTTTTGGGATGAATTGGATTTATTTATTTATTTGGTCAATGGTATATAGACCAGGTTCTTAAATATTTCACTAGGCCTTCTTAACGCATATTTTATATAGATCTAAAATGTTAAAAAGATTTGTCAGCTTATAGAAATAAAATTTTTTCCCCTTTCATTGAATTCTTTTTTATATTCAAATATATTCAAATTTATATTTTAACTTCTGTTTTTTTATTCAGCGTACTCAACCTAAAATTGGTGATGTTTTCCCACGTGTTCCTGGTCCCAGTACAAGTATAGAGGATTCACGGAGAACCTCCGGGGAGTCGGAGTATAGGAGTAATCCTGGGGAGTCCTGGAGTACCCCCAGGGAGTCCTGGAATACCCCAAGGGAGTCCTGGAAGGCGCCTAGAGAATCAGACTGGAGCACCCAGCAGACTCCTGTAATTCATCCACAAGAGGTAATATGCGTTTAAAGTTGAATCAATTCATTCAGTTATGAAGTGTACCGGGTGACTGATTCCTCATGTGTCGTTCGACAATTATCCTTTGTGTTTTGGTGTGCGAGATATGTCAAATGTGTAACGTCGCTGAAAAATTGCAAGGCCTGAACTTTGGGGTTGTTAAGACCCTAATCATAACCAGGAGAGGAAATAGTGCAAAATTAGTTTTGTGAATTTTGAAGTTGCAATTTTGCGAATTTTCGATATTTCCTTCTGTTATACATTTTGTTACTTTACCTGCTAATGTAATTATAGCTATGATATATCTACCCTTGGTCTGGTAATCAATCATATTTCACATTAAACAATACCAACGGGTCGGTCACAAATCCTGTCATTACAAGATATTTACCATGATGACAATAACAATATGTGACTTATGGAATTTTTACTGGGACAATGATCGTCGAACAGTGATAACCAGAAAACTCTGGGAATAGGAAGTTGACTTAGGCTCATGTTATGACTTTAAATAGTCCAATAAACATTAGGCACAGCAATTGTGCAGTGTAAACAGAACAATTTCACTGAATACAATATTTAACAACTTACAAGTAAAGCTATTTGCTTAGTAACAACATCAAATGCACTTCAGTATTGCTTCAATGTCGTCTTCCTATTCTACAGTTTTCCGGTTATTACTGTAGTACTGTAGCATCTTCCCATCGTATGTATGGGCACACCGGACTAACCAGAGTGAGCAGCATTCGGTTTCTTCTATTTGAAATCAAACGTGTTTTGGTCTTTAATTCAACAATCTTTTACTTTACGGATTTGTTTATTTTAAACATTTTCATTCAAAATGTATATGCCAACAAAAAAGTATTTAATAAAAAGGCTAACAAATTATGTTTAGTGGGTCAAATGGTGATCTGAAGTCACAGCTTTCTGGAATATTGACAGAACCGTTAAATTCACGTGTGGTAGCCAAAATTAAAAACATTTTATATGGTTATTAGTATATTATGCGTAGGTAGAAAGTGTAATAACCAAAATTATTGTTATAATATTGAAAGAAAAACCGTGGAATAATTTTGATTATTCACCGAATATTATAACAATAATTTTGATTATTACACTTTCTTCCTACGCATAATATACTATTATTGTTTAGAAGCATCGAACAGTAAAAGTACAAATGGAAAATAAATCCCTCCTAATTCCGATCAAAGAAAAAAATTTAACAGGTAAAAAATGAAAAATAAAAATGAAAAAAATATCATGATAACCAGCCAAAAAAAAGATAAACAAAAGAATAAGACAAGGACATAATAAAGATCGCAAAGTATCAGACATATAGCGGTGCCCTCCTGGAGGAGATCAGGAGCAACACTGCAGCCATGAACAGAATCTAGATATAGGTTGTTTGAGTGAGGTGTATTTTTTAATTAAGTTGCCTGGTTAATTGGTGAAACAGCGGCACGTTATGGACGCAGTGAAGGAATAACACCTGCTACAGGTATATTATGGTGGTGTTGGCCTATCTATTATATGTTGGGGGGGGGGGGGGGTGAGACAGATTCGTAAAGCAGATTCTTATTTAATTCCGCTAAAATTAAAATTTCATATACAATACTCATAAAAGCAAGATTATAATGCAAGGACAGTTAATTGCAGTTGCGTATACTCTGCGTACATATTGAAACCAGTTCTCTCTGGGCGGAATTTGTAAGAATTAGTGATCGTTTAGTATCCAGGTCCAGGTTAAAAGCATTAAATTTTGATAGTTTAATAATTCACATAATAGTTTCCTATAACTAGAATATTTCATTGATTTTGATGTGAAAGATGGATCCCATGTCAGGCTTCGACATCCGTCCAGAGACAGTACACTGCAGTACAAAAGATGCGTACACCTCCGCAATGACTTTCCTTGCATTATAACATTGCATAAAAGTTTCTTTTCTAAAGTGCCTTCGAAATTTTAGTTGATGGAGCAGAGATGGATAGGACTGATCTATTAGAGGATGTCCTCGCCACTACGGACAGCCTCCATGGCGTTGTTCTCTCTTGGCCGTATAAACCCTCTCATGAGAGATATTTAGAGATCTCTAAGAATTTGGGCTTTCCGGTCTATAAAAATATTGCAACCATTTTACACAGGAATGCAAAGTCAAATTTAGAAATAAAAATAATTAAAAATTTTTTTAAAAAGATAGATTTTGAATCAATGTTAAACATAATAGTTCATCAGAGGCCGAACTTAATGAAAAACGGGAACCGGGTATATAAAGTTGGAGCTACTCTTCTTTATGGCTGAGAGTTATTCACCATAGGGTAAAACGACAAACTGTCAAATTTGCGACAAGGGTAAAACGACATAGGAACAAAAAGTGCGACAAACGGGCAAAATTTCATTTAGACTATTTTTGGTTAATTGCAACTATTTTTATGTTCAGACGAACTAGTAGCCGCAGCGCTCGGCCCACTAGCATGTCCTAGCCTGGCCCATAAATTGTCTTTTTATGTAGTACATAAATTATTTTTCCCATTTTGATTCTTTGTTGTTTTACCCTTTGTTGCGTGTTTGACCGTTTGTCGTTTAACCCTAGGTCACTTGACCCTGGGTTGTTTGACACTAGGTCGGTGAACCCTGCAAGGTATTTAAAAAGACTATTTCTCCCTTTCAATAAGTCCAATTTCTCAAGAAAATGTAAAGTAGTCAAATACAGTGAAAGTAAAAAAGGAATTTGTTTGATATTAAAATATATTTCTTTTTTTTGACTGGACAATAGAGCTGAGGCTACCAAAAGCTTGATACTGCGCATGCCGCTGAAGTTTAAAATAATCACTCCTCTGGTCGGATCCCTTAAATCATGGTTGGGATTGCGGGAGATCGTCTTCGCTGGTTGCAAGATTGGAGAGAACTTCAATGTTTTCAAACCTGTTCTGAATACTCTTAAGTAAGTTATGGATAAATGTTGATATCGAATAATGGGACCCATGTAAAAAGAAAAACAAAATATAATCAATTTAAATTTTTTTATTAGAAGAATGTTTTACCAGTAGCTTGTAAATCAACTTATAAAGTTAAATGGGTCTGTGTACACAATTTCTGTGTTTCATGTAAATTGGAGAAATAAAGTCCAACATTTGTCTTCCTGTTCCTTTGGGACAAGTGAGGTATACAAAAGTTCCTGATAACGCTGATCGACACCAGAAAAGGTTACCATCGACTGTAAAATTCCTACTTTTAAGATTTTCAGCATCATAAAATCTCAATTTAGTATCTATTTTCTGACAAAACCAATATCATATTTTAATGAAATTTCCTTTTTTCAATATAAAATATTTAATTAATATTGATTGCTGATGTTGAATTCAGCGAAACCTTAGTAAGTTGGCATATTAATGTGTGATGAAAAATCTTATCTGTCAATATTACATCTATGAATTATAATTTATACGGTTTTCTAGATCGTTAAGTTTGTTGAATCTGTCCCAGAATTGTCTACTCCCAGTATACCTGGAGAACATAGTTCTACCACCCAACCTTGATTCTCTTAATCTAGCGCACAATCCATTCCAGGACCATTCACTCAGGTACAATCCATTCCAGGACCATTCACTCAGGTACAATCCATTCCAGGACCATTCACTCAGGTAAAATCCATTCCAGGACCATTCACTCAAGTAATACTTAAGGAGGGATTGGTTGGACCTATGGAACAGGGGTGTATTAAGTTATTTCTCCACTTCCCCCTGCACTATGGATCAAATTGTAAAAAAGGGGTAAAACAAATTTCAAACGTTTTTTTTTCACTGCATTTCACTACTTAAACTTTAACAGTACGGCTGAGGAAAAATATATTTGATTTAAAAGTCAAAACAAATATCTTCACTCTTTATTTTGCATGGAAAGGGGAACGAGTTCATAATTATTTTAATGAAATTACTAGCTTCTTGGGGCTGACAAAATAAAAATAAAGTTGCAAGTTTCTTCTTTCTAGTCTCCATTAGACAGAAGCTAAAGAAATTTTTCGAAGAATAATTTCTATCTAGTACTTTACTAGAAAAGGATTTCTTAATCCCATAAGGGTTATTTCTGGTATTGATGTTGAAAGCATCTAAGTGACAATTAAACAAAAGAGGAAGGAAAAGAGAAGTTTAGGGAGGGGGGGGGGCGCGGAGAATCATAAAATTATAATTTTAAACAGACACCCATGCTCTGGTGATATCCAAATTTAATTAATTAAAGATAATTAAATTGACAAGTTTTCTTGAGAATGGAGAATATTTTGATCTTCAATTATAAAACTAACCATTTGCCTCCCAGCCCCTTCCTCCATAATTTTTTCTTTCATTTCTATATTTTTGTTTTAATTTTTCTCTCTTACCAGGTTTCTGAGCCCAGTTCTGATGTCTAGTCCAGTTCTGAGCACACTAGACTTATCCTACTGTTCATTTACTCACCGGTTATTTAATACCGGATGTATTGAATTTACCCAGGCCATCTCAGGTATATTGCTTAAAGGGAATGAAGGTGGTATTTTAAAATGACCCTACTTAGATAGAGTGGCTTAACATGTTTTTAACGGTAAGCGTTAAAACTGGGTCAGATCATTATCAAGGATGAATGAGTTTTCCTTCTTTTTCTATCATAAAATTGATTGTTTTCCTGTGTGGTTTCTCTTTAAAAGGAACTTTTCACGTTTTAAGATAGAATTAAGACGATAACCTCCTAATTTATTTTTATTTTATTCATAAAAATAAATAAATAGATATAGATTTATAGTGTACCATTTAAACGCGGACAACCAACTCTTTTTTAACTTTCGGGTAATCTAAAATTACATTTTCCATCTCTTTGATACAAGATATATTGAATTTAGCTATTGCTATCTCAGTCAGCCTTATTTTATTTTATTTTATTTTATTTTATTTTATTTTATTTTTATGCGATGCGATGCGATGCGATGCGATGCGATGCGATGCGATGTGATGCGATGCGATGGTTTTGGTTTGATTTGATTTGACTTGATTTGATTTGATTAAATTTCAGGTTTAACCGATCTAAATATTGCTGGCAATGATCTTGGACCTGAAGGTAGTAAGATTCTCTTTTTACTTAATTACAATATTATGATATGCTGGCATTGGTCAGCATATAATATATATCAATACAGTGTTGACTACTGAATTGTCAAGAGTATTTGTTAATACAGCTACTTAAAGTTTCCCAGATGCACGAAGCCCAAACTCCCCAGAAGAAATTCTGTGAATGGCCATTTTTCGGAATTTATAACATAAACAAAAAATTATAATTTACAATTTTTGTTCCTGATAAGTGATAATTCATTGGTATATACAGTGATAACCAGAAAACTCAAGCTCAAGCAAACTCTTTTAAACTCAAGCTATAACTTTAAATATTTTAACGAACATGAGGCACACAAATTGTGTAGTGTAAACATACCCATTTATTTAATAACTGATTTGATAACTTGCTAGTAAAGCTATTTGCTTTGTAACACATAAAATGCACTTTAATATTGTTTCAATGTCGTCTTTCTATTCTACCGTTCTCTGGTTATCACTGTACAGTGTACACTGACCCTCCATTACTATTTAGCAATTTCTGTACCGGATACTGTATTTAAACATATTTCAGCCCCTTTATTTCACCTTTCAGTAAACAATATTATTTTGATCTATATGCTGATTGCTGGTAGTATATGGACTGGAGTACAAACTATCATCAATGCATTATGATGGTTATGGTTCAAGAATTTAAAATATGCTTTTAAGTTATTCTAATTTTGATTTTTTTTTCAGGTATTGAGATTCTTCTGAAGGTACTTATGATCGAAATTTCGTATATTTTTTCTACATATTTTTTCTCAGATGTCGCATTGGCATTTTAAAGAAGATGTATGAGCATTGAACCTCATATATGTCAGCATTGAAAAAATGAAGCTTAGCTAAGTACAAAAAAATTAAATCCAGGTTTATAACCGTGCTCTAACTGAAAAAAAAAAATAGTTTAGAGGGACTGCAGGCGATTGTGCCTGATTAATTGTTTCTTGCGAGCAAGTAACTTTTGTGGAGAAACCTCAAATGAAAATAAATAGTAAAACATGGATATCTATTTATCTAATCCATACTTTATCATGCATACAAAGCTATTAAGGGATACCATAGTAAATCGGGCATCGTCATCCATGGAGAGTCACTTGAAATTACGCTTACAGTCCCTTTTTTCAATCTATGACTGAAACATCTGATCAATCAAACACGCAATTTTCGTGGCCAAACCCTTGAATAAAAATATTGTTTTAGTGCTGTCCTACAACCTTAACAACGTTAAATCTATCGGCTACTGTATCAGGTTAGATAACCCCTGCCAGCTACGCCCCCATCCCCTTCCCTTGTCCCCCCTCTTTCCATAAACCCCAAAGTTATTTATATATTTCTGTCAAAACATTATTCTATCCATCTATCTAGCTATCTATCAACAATCCAGTATTAACATTTATATATATCTAGGATCCGACGGCAATTTATTGAAAGGTTTGGTTTCCTTCTGTCAGCGGGGAAACCAAGAAACTAGACTGGAAACCATTCTTCTTAGGAAACCTCAGTCAAAATCATAATTGTTTTTTCTTAACAAATTAGCGCAATTCGAAAAATCAATTTTTTGAACGAAACGTTTTCCTAAAATAAAAACTTTAAAAAAATTGAGGTTTGGTTCAGGAATTGTTATTTATCTGATATTAATATACCCGATCTGTGTACTGCAGTATCCAGCTTACCACGGTTAAAGGTAATATTTAACATTATCCTTGTCTCCCTTTATCTTTATTTTCTTCTATGCAACACTTTTTGATTTAACCCTCCAAGCAGAATTGGCGATGCCCGATTCAAAATAGTAACCTTGAAAAGTTGAAACATATATCCGATCAATAATGTTAAAGATATTGTCGTTTTGCTAGATAGAAAAGTGTTTATTTGTAACAATTTCTTCGTGTTTTTCTGCAGTACATGTATAAGGTCACTATTGTAGAGATTTCACGGTTAAAACCAATTAGGCTCCAACGTCTCTCCTTTATAAGAACTTGGAGCGTAATGCTCCTATTCTCCAAATTCTCTTCTCTGCTTAGATTCAGAAAAGGGATTTAGGGGGTTTAATATCTGAGCTGAAAACTTTTGAATGGTGGATATCGAGATTAATGCTTGATCTTCTGTTTCTTAATATAGAGACTAACCTAATCATGTACTTGATACTTCTATTCTGAAAAGTGTATAAAATTCAACCAATTAGAGTCGCGCATATGAAACCGATAAATTAAAAATTTTGCTCGCCATTTAAAATTATATAGAGACACTCTAATTACTCTAATTTAAAAAACCGGTTTTAAGAAAAAAAATCAGAAGTGTGTCCATTGGATACTCAGATTAAGTAATCGGGATTTATGATATTTAATTCGAAAGTTTTCAGCTCTGGTCATATTCTAAATATTACACCATGGTTTAAATATTACAAAATCTATTTCATACTTGATCAGACAACGCGTTTAAGGGTACAGTTGTGAATCTGGCGTTGTTATCTTTGCATGTAGGGTCACTTAAAATACGCTTACAGTCCCTTTAATATAACCAAACAAATTTACTTTACTTACTCTGGTCTAAAGGGACTGTAAGTGTAATTTCAAGTTACCCTCAACCCCTTTTTGACTGATTATTGATCATCAAAAGCAGAGAAATCTGTGTTTTATATTATTTCTTATATATGAATAATCTTGCAAGCAAAGTATTTTAAAGATTACTGTAAAGAAATAAATTAGTTTTTTTGTACAGCTGTAGAAATATATGCATTTATACAAAGTATAAAAGATTGATTGGTAGAAATATGATAAAATCAGCATCTGAACAACAAATTATTTTCTTTAAAAATCTTTTTCTCTTGTAGAAGTTGGATTTGTCAAGTAACGGTGTAACACCGTCTGGAGTCCACCAGCTGTTAACTCGTGTAGCAGAGACAGATCGTCAGCTGACCGATCTTCTTCTAGACAACTGTCACATGGTCATTGGACAAGGTTAGATTTATACTCTCAGTTAATACCTTTATGTTGTTACCTAATCAGAGATTAATAAAGATTTCCTAATCTCTTCATGGTTCAATAAGATTCAGCAATAGAAACTTCTTAAACATTTTTCAATTCTTTGAAACATTTTATCCTTTAAAGCAAATGTTAGAGAGGGCTCTGATTTTAATTCTAGTGGCAACGATTTTTAATAATTTAGCCGGCTCTTGTTTATATTTTGAACAACGATTTTAAAAGTTCATTTTTTACCTCTGTTTTTATCATATCCTGGAATACATAAATTTGTAAGGTAATGAAGAAATGGTAAATGGAGTGACTATATTAATGGATTGGTTCTAAACAGAAATATAATACTTGTAAAGTTGAGAAGACATAGTTGATGGAGTAAGAATATTAATGGATTGGTTATAAACTGAAATTCATATTTGTTAGGTGATGCAGATATGGTTAACGGAGTTAATATATTAATAGATTGGTTCTAAATGAAACATATATTTATATGGTTATGAAGATACAGCTAATGGAGTTAAGATATTAATGGATTGGCTCTAAATTGAAATAAATATTTGTTAGGTTATATGAAGATACAGCTAATGGAGTTGAGATATTAATGGATTGGCTCTAAATTGAAATAAATATTTGTTAGGTTTTGAAGATATGGTTAATGGATTTAAGATATTAATGGATTGGCTATCAATTGAAATAAATGTTTGTTAGGTTATGAAGAAATGGTTGATGGAGTTATGATATTATGGATTGGTTCTGAACTAAAATATTTTCTAGACTATGAAGAAATGGTTAATGGAGTTAAGATATTAATGGATTGGCTCTAAATTGAAATATATATTTTTTAGGTTATGAAGAAATGGTTAATGGAGTTAAGATATTAATGGATTGGCTCTAAATTGAAATATATATTTGTTAGGTTATGAAGATATGGTTAATGGAGTTAAGATGTTAATGGATTGGCACACCAAACTGAAATATATATTTGTTAGGTTATGAAGATATGGTTAATGGAGTTAAGGTATTAATGGATTGGCACACCAAACTGAAATATATATTTGTTAGGTTATGAAGAGATGGTTAATGGAGTTAAGATATTAATGGATTGGCACACCAAACTGAAATATCTCTCATTCCCAGGTAAACATAGATGGTTTCAAAAACAGAAATTAAAACTCTGTTTATTATAAGATTTCAAAAGATTTTCTCCATAACTATTTAAGTAAACATTCCATTAAAGAGGTTTATGCCCTATTACAAACGGGTATCCTTTAAACTTATGTTGTTAACAAATGGAGTTCCATGTATAACTAATTGAAAATTCATCTTTCCTCAGTGGATTTTCTATTAGAATGACTTGTGTATTTATGTTACATGTAGCCTAAGTAAAAATTCATATGTTTAAAGGACACATTTTGAATCAAACATGTAAATTTTTAAATAGTGAGTCTTTCCTTTGTGGATTTTCTATTAGAATGACTTGTGTATTTATGTTACATGTAGCCGTATCAAAAATTCATCTTTCCTCAGTGGATTTTCTATTAGAATGACTTGTGTATTTATGTTACATGTAGCCGTAGCAAAAACTTATATGTTTAAAGGACACATTTTGAATCAAACATGTTAATTTTTAAATAGTGAGTCATTTTGAATTACGTTGACAGCCCCTTTAAACTAAATATATATGATAGAGGACAATGCTGACCTTGTGGAGCGGATTCGGAAAATCTGGATTAATAGCTGGGGGTCAACTAGTAAACAGTATTCAGATTCAACACAGAATATCAAGTTCTCAATAGCATAGTACACCTTACTTACAGTACATTACCATCTTTACAAATACAAACAAAGTACAAGTGTTTACTTCAAAACCTTTTTCAAAATGAATTTTGTAAACAATTTAGATCTGTGATATGTATATGATTATACAGATGTAATCATCTAATATTGATTTTAAAAGAATTTCTATGTTAAAATACATAATATTGCAATTTTTTAATCTACTTTGAATAAAACTTTACATATGTACATTGTACAAGACTCAACCTTTATTGTGATTGTAGACGTAGCAATAAAATAAAATGAAAATCTTAATAAGAATAATTGATGATATTTAAATTTATAATTTGCCAATTTAAGATGATAAGATTATTGAATGTATAATAATTTTGTCACTTGTAATGAAAAGTGATTTTAATGCTTTAATGAATGAGTGACATGTATTGATGATTCAACGTAAGAGTGACAATAATAAGCTAAACAGGCGGATATAATGCAGAGGCGCAACTAGGGGGAGGGGCGGCCGGGCGCGCGCCCTCCCCTAGCACCTGAGAGGGGGGGCGCCCCCCCCCTGCAGAATGAAAAGAAAGAAAGAATGGCGAAAATCAGTATCACAGGAACAAGAAAACCAAAGAGTTATTGTAGAAATTTTATTATACTATAGTTAGTTTTAAAAAATATATTTTTATCTTTCTCAATTCTCAAGGCTAAAGGCTATTGTAAACATTTAATGTAAAAAAAAGTTCTGAACTGTATTTTATTTGTGTTGAGTTTATAGAGTACTCGTAGATATCAAACTTTAAATTCTGTTGGTAAAATATCCCAAGTTTGAAATATCAAATGTTTACACCACTTGGTGCAAAGATTTAGGGATTATAATATTTGAGTTTGTGGCAAAAAATCAGTTCCAAATCTAGAGAAAATTTTGAACCTGGCAAATTTCTAACTGATTATCATATTTGATAACTAACGAGATTTATAATCTTCTTTGACAGAAGTTCTATAAAATCGAAAATGAATTTAGATTATGAATGTTGGTTAGATCAATCATTAATTCAATAACTTCAAGACAAAAGGTAACATTTTGCGCCTCTGATATAATGAATAAATAAGTGGCACTTATCATTCTCACAATTGCTTTTTTAACCATACTGAGCAAATCTTCGGAGACAAGAATGGGAATCCTTAACGACTCGTTCAGATATTCAAAAAAATTTTATTTTAGAGGTACAAAGAAGACTTCGAAAAATGCTTTAACTCTGATGTCTGCTTGTGAATTTTTCATAATTGTAATCATCTCTGGACTCTCCTCCGCCGATAATTTAAACATTCACTCTCATATTTGACATATGGTTCAAAGATCATATATTTTTAATACAACAGTAACCCCTGAGCCCAAAACTTAAGACAGGGTATCGTTATGAAAACCAGTTTAGAAACCCGGGTTTCAAGAATGGGGTTAGGCAGTTTTGTGGATATCAATATTTTTGTTGTGAAATATTATTTTATTAAGTTTCTTCATATTCTTCATTTTTTAAAATTTCTTAAATCAAAATCTACACAATTGCCAAGACCCCAAAAAGGAAACTCGGGAGTTTCGTTCAACGATACTCTTTTAAATTTCGGGCTCTGACGAATTTTACGTCCGCACAACTCATTGCGTCACAACTAGGGATGTTAACGTTTTCATTTTTCAGAAAAACGATCGTTCCGTTAAGAAAACGACGACGAAAAATCGAAAACGAAACGATCGTTTTTTTTAAAAAGTTCGTTTTTTAAAAATAACGTTTTTAAACCCTCGTTTTTAAAAATGAACGTTTTTCAAAGCGATCGTTTTATTTTATCGTTTTGTTAACGATCGTTAACGACGACCCTTCGTTAACGACAACCCTTCGTTAACGACGACCCCTTCGTTAACGAAGAGAGGAAACCGACCTGAAGGGCATCTGTACTTATCATTGAGTAGTTTTTAAAAAAAATATCAAGGAGTTATAACTCCCCCACAACTGTTAACCTTCATGTAAGATGACATTCAATAAAGTTGCATGTATTTTTTTTTCCAAAAACGACCGTTTTGATAAAGTTCGTCGTTTCGTTAACGATCGTTAACGACGACCTTTCGTTAACGATCGTTAACATAATTGTCAATAAATTTTTTTTTCAAACACAATCATAAAAAACGGTCGCAAATCTTTTTAAGAAAAACGATCGCTATTCGTTTTCTAAAAGTTCAAAACGAGTAAGTCGTTTTTAAAACGATAGTTTTTTTCGAAAATGAAATGATCGTTTTTAAAAACGAAACAAAAAACGATCGTTTACAAAAACGATTAACAATCCTAGTCACAACTTACCATTGTTTCTTCTGACCACACCTCTTTTTTACCGGGCATTGCTTCTGGGGTTTAAACTGCATTTTATAATGCCTTACACCATTTTTTTCAACTTTAGACAATATCATGTTCTTTAATATGGTTTTTTTTTTGTTTAAAATACATTTAAAAAACAAGACTAAATGATTAATTAAACCCAATTTAGCAAAGAACGGAAAATGTGTGTACCTCACTTGTCCGGACAAACCCAATTTCGTCCGGACCACACCCATTTTTCGTCCGGACCATACCCATTTTTTCGTCAGTACCACAAACATTTTTGTTGTGTTCTTATTTTGCTTATAAACTGCAACTTTTAGGTTATATTGGGCTGGAAGTTTTAAAATTTACAACTAAAATTAATACATTTTTTAGTTGGTAACATAAAGCATTTGGTTTAGGCATTATGAATTTCCATGAATTGTTTTATTCCTTTTGTACCTTCATAAAATGTTCTTCTTTTTTTAAAAAAACGGATAAAATGTTTTAAACCATTATGAAAAACATGACGTAGCTCAAAATTTCGAATAAAATAATTTAAAGTTCAGGGTGTCTCAATAAACATGGGAATTGAGAGACAATTTCGATATCGTCTTCTTAAATAATTCTTTGATTTAGTATAGTGATACCTACTGAGAGAGCTGTCATCCGTAAGATTCTCGTCTGATATGTTTACAATTTGTTTGTTTATGTTTTGACTGCATACGGTGGTTGTACCTAGTAAAACAAGAAAATTACAGTATACAAACAGAGTAAACTTGTCCGTCTTCATCTTGCAGAGACATTATATACACATATTTGCAGTCTTAACTCTAACATAAAATAAACTCTAGAAGACATGATAATACTATGGTTTTTGAAATCAGGTTTTACAATGCTAATTCTTAACAAAGACGATCTCGAATTCGTTACTGACTTCACATGTTTTTTGGGACACCCTGTATCTTAAAAAAAAGAATTTAAAAGTCTGACGAAGAAAGGTATGGTCGGACGAAATATTGGTGAATTTTGAAGTTCATTGTGGTCGGAGGCAAAAATAAGACTGACATTTTACTGACAAATCTGTATCATTAGGATTCAATAATTTCTCTGAATTCAATCCAAATAATTTTAAATTCTGGTTTATAGGGTCATCATTGTAATATTTTACCTATGTTCAGGGCTGAGCAACGCTCCAGTAACAAACGGAAGTTTATAAGAAGTTGGCTATCGTGTCCATCTTCTATTTCAACTTGCAATACATGCAAAATATTTAAGCATTTTCTCTCCGATTAAACCCAAAAAATTTTTTTTTGCTGATTTACAATGGTTTTTCGTGGATTTTCCAAAGTTTACGAAAGTCAAACAAGTTTTGAGAAAACTTATTATAATTTTAAGCATCCATTAACCTTCTAAAGGGGTCATGTGAGGTCCCGCGCAAAAGTTGAACCTGATCAGTTTAGCTGTTTGACAAACAAACAGACAAGCGAATTATATATATATATATATATATATATATATATATATATATATATATATATATATATATAGGGTGGATCAAAATAGTTGGCGGATTGAATTAGGGCCCTATGTTTTAGAAAATGACTTTTGGCTCAAGAAAATTTACAAAATAATATTTGTTCAAAGTACATATGTCATATTAAAATAGACTGTCGACTGTCAAGTAAACTTTTTGCACAGCAACCTGGCTTTAAAAATTATGCCTAAAATACAGTCTCCTGAGTTTTCTGAGGTCCGAGGACAGGTTGTTGGGGATATTTGAGGTCAGGAGAAAGGCAGAAGGCAAGGATCTAGACGCAGGATTTAGACAAGCTCAACTGTGAAGGGCCAAGTATGAAAGGGCAGGGACCAATAAAAGGCTTAGGAGTCCAGTGTGGAAAAACGTGCTTGGGAGGATAAAAAAATCACAATTAGCAAATCACTTGAAAAATAAAGGTAGTCCTTAAAATTTAGCCAACACATTTTAAAACAAGGGGCTGCAAGGATTTAGGAACACGATTTAGAGGCATTTGAAAAAAAATATTGGAGTTTAGCCATATTATTTCTGAAAAAATGTACTTTTGGCCCAAAAACGTGCTTCACCAGACCTTCGCGGACTCAGAACAAGTTTTTTTACTGAGAAGTCTCCTTTTGTGCGGGTCTATCCTCCTAAACCCAAAAATTATGTTATTTGGATCCATGCTGTTAGCGATGTTCCATTATGTTCGAGTTCCAATTTTCCACACTTGAAAAGGTGTTGGGGGCATGATCTTTTCTGGCCTGTCCTCATCATAGTCCTTCATAAAAGCAATATTGATGAGGAATATTACTAGACAGAGAAAGAGCATGCAGGGCCTACACAGAACTCCTTTGAGCTTATGCCTCAGGGTTATTATGAACAAAAAACCCCTAAATCTTGAAAAGTCAACGTCTAGTGTTCTATCTGTGTTGTTATTAATCTATGCTATTAACTAATGGAGACCCTGTTCATTTTCAAATGATTTTTTAACTTTAATAATTTATTTTAGACATCGAGTTGTGGAGCAGGTAGGAGAGAGATAAGGAGGTTTGTAGGAAGAAGGGTATAGGGGATTGCTCCCTGTGTTCCTTCATTTTATACTGTTTCCCAGTTAAGGGGGATTAAGGAAACCCATAAATGCACCCCTTATGCAAAATGGGGAGTTGTGATCCCTGAAAGCTCTCTTGAGAGGAATCTTCCATAGCAGTCCAGTCCTCACATCTGGTCGAGTAAAAAACCAGTATCGTTGTGCATGGCTTGTATTCCCACGAGGGGTTAAACTCCTCTTTTAGTGCACACGCTAAGGATGAAGTTTTGTTTTCATCTATGAATTCTTGCTTCCCCTGTAGGATACAAGATGCATAACTAAACTCAGCGCTCCTCCAGTTGTAATTCTCGGACCCCAAAGGATATGTCCGCTCTGCTTGGGAGCAGGAAGGCAACTCTCATTTTCATTTTTAAATGATTAACTATCAAAGTTTAACTGTTCATGAAAAAATGCGGAAATTAAACTAATGTAGATTTACAAGCGAATAAACCTGTTCTCTAAATTACAGTGTGTCCTGATGAACATGGGAATTTTGTAACGACTTCTATATTGTCTTTGTTCCATGCAGGATTTTTGTACATTATGTTGTAATATCCTTCTTAAAACATTTAACATCGAAGACTTGTAGTATCGGGATTTCCAATATGTGGTCTAACATTTTTTCACCTTCAAAATTGACGGAGATTGCAGTTGCAGTTTGCAGATTGCAGTTTATTAAAAATCAACAGAACTATTTAAAGTTTAATATCACGGTCAATTTTAAATATACAAGGAAGGTAAAGCACAATTTGGAAAGCTCATTAGACTTTCAAGCTTTTTTTGATGCAAGGTATGTCATTGATCAATTATCCGAAATCAAAGACCATATTCAAGTCGTCTCTTAATTCCCATGTTTATTGGGACACCCTGTATTTAAGATATTATTTAAAAGTTAGCAGTATACTTGTCAGTCCGTAGATTTAGTTAATTTAACAAAAAGATTTAAAAAAAATCAGACATCTTGCAATGACAATAAATGATAATAATAAAATTTAGTGAATAAGATCAATAATTTACGGAACAATTTATTTTTCTTTTGTGTAATCGATAGACAAGACATATATAGAAATGCAACCTGAACAATTATTTATAAACATTTACAAAGAGGAAAACAGTACAGTACAATAATCTTAGTGGCTTTGAGGTAACAGTAGATAGTTTTCTTTTACAGAGCATCTGACACCTGAGAAATATATATATAATATACAGGGTTACCCACAAAGTATGAGACTTTCAGGATGATTGTACAGAATTCATACTGTTTGTTTTCTTACATCGGTGAGCACGGGGAGCTCAGACCCCCTAAACCTCCTGATAATCAACTTTTCCGTATGTGTGAGCTTAGCCCCACTTGTAATTCAGGGGTGGAGGCCCCCCTTATCTATTTTACCTAGTATCCTGACATCTCTGCAAAGGTTTGCTCTAGCTCATCTGTGATTGCTTTAAGCTTCTCCTGCTCCTGGTACAGCTCATCCTCAAGCCGGTCAACCTAGGCAGGTAGGTAGGTAAATAGGTAGGTAGGTAGGTAGGTATGTAGGTTAGTAGGTAGGTAGGTAGGTAGGTAGGTAGGTAGGTAGGTAGGTAGGTACTAGGTAGGTAGGTAGGTAGGTGGTAAGCGGTAGGCAGACCGTAGGTAAAGAAATATGTGAAATAATAGCGTAAGGCTGTTCATTACACACTTATTTTTATCAAGCAAAGATCTGAAGAAAAATAATCAATAAGAATATTAGAGTTTTAGGGAACTTCAATTTATATCTAACTTGTTAAATCATTTCAAAACTTTTTTATCTAATGAAAAATGTACTCGCAAAAGTTTGCCAAGATAAAATTTGAATAAAATTCTATTAAAACTATATCTGTATAAAGTTCAAAAGGAGGGGTTTACAGCTTTCATATGATTAATTTTTGAAAATATTCCAGATTCTCACAATAATATTTAGTGAAATACTGAGAAAATCCAGGTGGATTAGAAATAGGAATGCATAGAAAGAATTTTAAAAATTTAGGTTCCAACATTTTTCTGTTTGAATTGATTAGCTTGGAGTTGGAGGGGGGGGGGGGGTAGAGTGTAAAATATTATTTCTAGACCCCTCCCCCCCCCCTCTCCCACCGGACTTTGTGTCTAATAAATTAACTGAAATTCCAGAAAAGTCTTCTTTCCACAAATAAATCCTCTCTAGAAATCTAGAAATGTTTTAATTTCAAAGTGAAAAGACCATAAAATTGCGAATATTTATGTAGACATAAGAATTTGTCATTTCCCTCAATTATCTCAACTCAGAAAAAAATTCCCAAAGCTAATATTCAAGTTTATTGTTTATTGTAAATGAAAAGGTTGCTTAAAAGGGGGGAAGGGTCCGTCTCCCTTGAAAATATTTGGGCGCAACTATAGAAGAAGGAGGGGGGGGGGCAACCTCTTTGTCCCTTTTATTCAATTTAAACAAAGGATTGAAAGAAATGTACCTTCGGTACATTTATCAAGGAAATATTTTCCATCTTGGGCAAATTTTAAAAGTGGTCACAATATTTCCCCCTCCCCTCTCTGACCAGGACAGGAATTTTACATAAGTATAACCAAAATACCTTTTTAAAATGCCAGGGGGGATACAATATGTTCACTGAGCTGCATGCGCAATCTTTCATGGAACTTAAATAATTATTTCAACACCCTGGCCTATTTAAGTAATGTCAAGTTATGTCATCAACATAATGACTAACACAATAACAAAGCCGGTCAGCATTCGGAATGCATAGTCCCGCTTTTCATTGGTAGAGCTTACGGTTTTACAGATATTGTGAAAAAAAACCGACTTTGGTCTTTTTATAAATAAGAAGATGTGAAGAAAACAGCTAGTCCTAGATTCGAAAATAGATAGTTTATCTGCTACCTGGACAATGCTATGGAGATCAATCATTTGAGAATAGCACCAAAGTTAACAATAAATAAATACCAACAAAATATTAAACAAAATCCTAACCTATTTAGTTTTCTTATAAGTTTGTCTGAAGATACTCAAAATTGTCCTTTACTGAGTTACCCATATACTTTTATTTTTCACATACCTCCTTCTGCAGTTTCTGTACAGATCTCTCAGCAAACTCTGCTCTGGCCTCAGCCTGCTTCAGCTTAGCGGTCAAAGTTTTAATTTGTTCCTTGTAGGACTCTTCTCTTTGGTTGGCCTTCTCTTCTGAGACCTCAAGGGACTTCAAGTTGTTACCGACAACTCTCAACTCCTCTTCCAGCTCCATGATCTTGGTCTCTCCGGTCTCTGCTCTCTCCTCTGCCCTCTCAAGATCACCTTCTACCTGAGACAGCTTTTTGGCAACCTCGTCGTACTTTTTATCTGCATCCTCAGCATGATTTCTGGCCTCCTTCAGCTCTTCTTCCAACTTGGTCATCCTCTCCTCATCTTGGATAGCTCTGTTCTCCAGAACTTTCCTCATACGCTCGGAATCATCAGCAGCTGTTGATGCTTTGTCCAGCTTCTGAGATGCAATAAGAAGTTTATCCTCACTCTTTTCCAGGTCTTCCTCAAGACCTTGAACTCTTCGGTTAAGAGCGTTCACTTCAAGCTCAGCTGCCATCAAAGCCTTCTCCTTCTCTTCAAGCTGCTGTGTGGTGGTAAGCAGCTGCTCAGTGGTCTTGTCAAGATCCACCTCCAGCTGCTGGGACTTCTTAACAAGCTCAGCAACCTCCTCCTCAGCCTTCTCCGTTCTTACTTTTGCATCCTTTGCTGCCTGCTCACAGGCATCTGCCCGGTCCATGGCATTGTCCTTCTCCACCTTCATTGCCTGCATCTTCTTCTTGATGGCGTCCATCCTGACCTGACCGTGGGAGCCCTGCAATCAATCAATTTATAGTGCACTACAGGATGAGAAATGGCACAAGAAAAGTTTTACTAACATTCATTTTTGCTATGTAGTATGTACACTTAGAAAACATAGGACAAATTTCATATAAAAACATTCTCCATGCACTTTATTTTTTAGGATAAGTCTGGGCCTTCTTCAGGTGCTAGCAGGCTTCATTGGAAAGAGTTGTAAAACAAAAAGTGTAAATGGCAAACAATGATGGCATTTAGCAAAAAAAAAGTAGAACATTAAGTGAAATAACAATTACATTTTAAATGGAATTATTTTTCCACATTTCACAAATTTTTAAGAAATAGATTAATTTTGAATTTAGTTCTAGAACTAGACACATATATTCATTTGGTGTACCGTCCTGGTTTACTACGTCTATAGTGGGCATTTGCACTGTACTTCTAGCTCTTGCCGCATATAAGTCAGTTCGCGGTACTTTCAGTGTATAGGAAAATGGAGATAAATGAATATTTCCAGGTTAAGTATACTGTATATTCTATATGTGACCCACATATGTAGAGTTTAAAAGTAAAAATACATTTTTATGTCTGGAACTCGAGGTATTTGCAATATTGTTAAAGATTTCTTGAATTTTAGGTAAACATGGGGGAGGGGGGGGGGGGGAGGAATGAGGGGGAAGAAATTGACACTGACAAATTCTGCACTGATTAGTTTAGTTTAAGTAGATTTACTAAAATGTACTTTCTCCTGTCTTTCATCTACAATGTTCTTAATTCTTGTCTTTCATCTACAATGTTCCTAATACATTCCTGCACATTTCTTACATTCATACTTTGCATATATACAATATACATACATTCATACATTTTCCTCTTATCTTGCAGATCATTTTTCACTTTTTAAATTTCCTTTGAGCTGTAATATTATATAATATATATAAATTCAATCTTTTTTAAATAGCTGTTTTTTAATGTGACAAGTTTGTTTAATCCCGCTTATCAAACAAATTACATATGCACAGGAATGTCATTTCCTGGCAGAAAAGTTAGAAAACCAATGTAAATTTACATCCCCAATGGGTTTAATGATAAGCCTGAGGGCGTAACCCAAGGATTTATCAATGAGTCATCGAAGCTTCCTTTTGGAAATTGCCCATTTGGGAAATTGTCACTTGGATAGTCCCCTTGTGAAAATGCCTTTGAAAAATACCTAGAACCTTTCGCTCAGCTATAAGACTTTATATTACAAGCTTTGGATTGTACACGGGCAGCCGTAGTACATTTGAATTTCCAAGCCAGGTCAACCTTTCCAGTACCAGTTTGTACTGTACCTGTACTAGCCGGTGCAACAAGGTTGATGCGGTCAGACTTTATGATTCAGATAGGTTGAATTTACTTTTACTAAAGGGACAGATTTGCGTGTCTATGTATTTTTAATGCATTCAAAAAAACCCTAAATCGTTTTCAACTTTTTGTAAGCTTTCAAAATATAGAAGAAAGTTTATCCATCTTATAATTATTAATCAAAGGAATTTAACAAGTCCAAACATTATTTTATTGTGATTTGTTTTAACAAGTAAATATTATAGAATTTTAAATTTATAATAAAGATCGAAATATATGCATTCCTTTGTTAAGTACAATCATGTAACACAGAACTTTTATAGTTGAATAGAATTTTTAAAACATACTACACATTCATTATTTTACGGAAAAAGAAGAATTGTACATATATCTATATATACATCCTGTAGAATATTGTACATATATCTGTATACACCCTGTAGAATATTGTACATATATCTATATATACACCCTGTAGAATATTGTACATATATCTTTGTATGCACCCTGTAGAATATTGTAACTATATCTATATATACACCCTGTAGAATATTGTACATATATCTATATATACACCCTCTAGAATATTGTACATATATCTATATATACACCCTCTAGAATATTGTAACTATATCTATATACACACCCTGTAGAATATTGTAACTATATCTATATACACACCCTGTAGAATATTGTACATATATCTATCCCTGTAGAATATTGTAACTATATCTATATACACCCTGTAGAATATTGTACATATATCTGTATACACCCTGTAGAATATTGTACATATATCTATATATATACACCCTGTAGAATATTGTACATATATCTATATATACACCCTGTAAGGAGTAAGGTACCTGTAAAGTAGCAGGTCTAGGAGAGACTGAAGGAACTGAAGGGTCAAAATGAATTGTCCGGTAATTATAGAGGAACAGAGTTCAGGGGCAGTTTTAGGGGCTAAATCAGGGATAGAATAGGGACAGTATACAAGGGGGAATAGGGACAGTAAACAAGGGGGAAAAGAGACAGTATACAAGGGGGAATAGGGACAGTATTCAAGGAGAATAGGGTCAGTATACAAGGGGGAATAGGGACAGTATACAAGGGGGAATAGAGACAGTATACAAGGGGGAATAGGGACAGTATACAGGGGGGAATAGGGACAGTATACAAGGGGGAATATGGACAGTATACAAGGGGGAATAGGGACAGTATACAAGGGAGAATAGGGACAGCATACAAGGAGAATAGAGACAGTATACAAGGGGGAATAGGGACAGTATACAAGGGGAATAGGGACAGTATACAAGGAGAATAGAGACAGTATACAAGGGGGAATAGGGACAGTATACAAGGGGGAATAAGGACAGTATACAAGGGGGAATAGAGACAGTATACAAGGGGGAATAGGGACAGTATACAAGGGGGAATAAGGACAGTATGCAAGGGGGAATAGGTACAGTATAAAAAGGGGGAATAGAGACAGCATACAAGGGGGAATAGGGACAGTATACAAGGGGGAACAGGGACAGCATACAAGGGGGAATAGGGACCGTATACAAGGGGAAATAGGGACAGTATACAAGGGGGAAATAGGGACAGTATACAAGGGGGAATAGGGACAGTATACAAGGGGAATAGGGACAGTATACAAGGGGGAATAAGGACAGTATACAAGGGGGAATGAGGACAGTATACAAGGGGGAATAGGGACCGTATACAAGGGGAATAGGGACAGTATACAAGGGGAATAGGGATACTATACAAGGGGGAATAGGGACAGTATACAAGGGGGAATAGGGACAGTATACAAGGAGAATAGAGACAGTATACAAGGGGGAATAAGGATAGTATTCAAAGGGAATAGGGACAGTATACAAGGGGGAATAGGGACAGTATACAAGGGGAATAGGGACAGTATACAAGGGGAATAGGGATAATATACAAGGGGAATAGGGACAGTATACAAGGGGGTATAGGGATACTATACAAGGGGGAATAGGGACAGTATACACGGGGGGAATAAGGACAGTATACAAGGAGAATTGGGACAGTATACAAGGGGAATAAGGACAGTATACAAGGGGGAATAGGTACAGTATACAAGGGGGAATAGGGACAGTATACAAGGGGGGAATAGGGAAAGTATTCAAGGGGGAATAGGGAAAGTATACAAGGGGAATAGGGATACTATACAAGGGGGAATAGGGACAGTATACAAGGGGGAATGCGGAAAGTATACAAGGGGAATAGGGATACTATACAAGGGGGAATAGGGACAGAATACAAGGGGGAATAGGGAAAGTATACAAGAGGAATAGGGACAGTATACAAGGGGAATAGGGACAGTATACAAGGGGAATAGGGATACTATACTAAGGGGAATATTCACATAATTTTAAGTAACAATATTCTGCGGCTTACAGGGTTCACAACTTAACGACACCTTGACCTTGTTCTATAGAGAAGTGTAGGAAAAAAGTTTTCTACTTCTTTTTTAAACCGATACAGTCCTGAGACTTCTGAATTTTTACCGCAAATTATTTAAAAGAAATAAGGTCACATGTCGTGTATCCAAATGTTCTATTTCGGTCACAACTCACGCACTGAAAACTTTGGTTGTTTTGAAATACCGGACTGACTTTTAAGCAGACTTAGAGAAAGTTGCATCGAGACTTTGGATGATAGATCGGAAAAGTCACCAAATGAATCATCTTCTTTTAGATTTAACCATTTAGAAAAAGTCCCAATAGTTGTTTAAAACACTATTTTTTTGTAAAAAAGGTTTTTAACAGTTTTTACAGACTGATTTTAAAATGTTCATTATATTACAGTTTTTAAATCCCTTTCTAATGTTTTTTTTTCAGTGACTTGAATTGCGTTTACAGTGAGGTTTTTCATTTCACTGTTCACTGGCTTTTCAATTCTTTCAATACTTCCTCTCCCGTGACTTAAAGGGATTAATGTTGATATAATTTGAAGTGAACCTTTACGGTACCCTTCGTCTTGGCAAAATTGATAATACGCTCTCGCTTTTTTACCTTTTCAAATTCGGGGAAGTCACTCTTTGGAAGAGAATAAAAGGTAACTCTGAAAATTACGTCTACGGTTTTGTTTAACTAGACGTATTTAAAGAGTACTGAAGACTATTAGGGGCTAAAATTACAATTTTTGAATTAAATGGAGTAATCACTACAAATCGTTAAGTTTTAGTTCTGTTGGGACAAGAATTCTGTGCAAACTTGTGCAATTTTTGTGCACGTGTACTTTACATCTTAGGAATGTGAATTTTGTTAGAGATAAACTAATCAGAGGTCGAATTTAAAGAATTCGAGCCGTGACTTAAATTTGAGACGCGACTCAAATATGATTGATTCCACTAAAAATTGTATTCAATATTTAAGAATTTCGCCGGCGCTCAATTGAAACCGGTTTTTAGAGGATTTAAGACGAGGCTCAAATTCATTAAATTCGAACTCTGGAATCAGAGTTGACGTGTACCTGAACCCGAATCGTCCTAAATGAACGGGCGTATTTAAGACGTACTTCGTATGTCTCCGTACTCTGTAGTGTTTGTCCGCCAGATGTCAGCACATAATCTAATTTTACTATGCTTTCTATTTTTTTTTTCGTCGAGAGGGGTCGTGTTTCACCGTGAGTAAGTGAAGACGTCATATGTTTGCAATAAGTACGGATGGCAAGATTCGGGCTCTGGCGTCAACAAGTCAGGTTGAAGTACAGGGTTACCCACAAAGAATGAGACTTCAGAGACGAATTTTATCGATCGCTTTTTCTATATTCGTATCGTAGTTCCCTATGACTTTATACTTTTTCTATACTTTGCTAAGTCATTTAGTACACTTATATAAGTCTAGATCCAAGTCCGAAAATCAAATTAAAGCTTCAGTTCGACAGAATTGAGACTTATTAGGTCGTCTTTATAGTCTTATACTACGTGGATTACCCTGCACATCAAATCCGCAACGTTCATTCGAAATGCAAAATGGGCTTAAAGAGAGGAAGTATTTGTATTTCCATGATTACTGAGGAAAAACTGGACCCACTATTGCGAGCTGTGAATGTGGACAGTATGTGCACAATAAATATGGTTACTCCAAAATATCATCTCTATTTATTGGTTGTGAAAAAATATAAAGCAATAAACAGTTAGCCGTCTAATTAATAAATCCCGTACGTGCTACATGGGCATGGGCGGTCCGCGTCAACCCTGTATCCAGCCCTGCTGATCCGTGGAATCGTGTAAATATTGTTTAGCAAAAACGCAAGAAATTCTGTTACAGAAAAAAAAAGACTTACTTACAGCATACATTCTGCTGTATGAAATTGTCCGCATAAAATTGATTCCATACTTACATTTACAACAAAATAGCGATTTGTAGTTTTAGTTAGTTTGGGCGAGGTTGGATTTTATTGACCCCTAATTTTTTAAACATGTTTTTAAGTCTTCGGTTCAAGGTTGCTTGCTCTCGATGCACTGATGCCATGTATGAGAAATGTCGTCTCCTTGGCATATATTGATAAAATCCGTATATGACGGCTCTCACTTCTATAATAACTGACGTCACATGAGGAATTTGTCATCAATGCTTAGGAGACATTTCCCGTACATTGGAGCGCATCGATTAAGCAACCTTATTATAGAACCTTGCTCCAGTTCGGAAACACCTACACGAGGGTAAAAAAATATTACTATTTTCTTTGCATTCCTATTTCCTATAAGGTATAAAATCGACATCCTGCCCTAATTTCTGTAAATTTATGGCAAAATTTTCAACCCGGACCCCGCCAGAATAACAGTTGAAGTGGGAAAGGAGACTAATCGTGTGATTAAAAGGAAAGCAACTATTTTTTCCCTTACATTGAATTTTACATTTTCTATTGAACAAAATATATATTTTCTTTATTGAACATACTGGGATTTATATTACATAAGGTTTACGTATTTCTATGTACAGTAAAATAGTACGTATCATGTACAAAAGTAGAACACAACCTTACAATTTTAAACAAAATAATATTAATATTAACACAGATCGCAAAAATCTAGGCTTAAAATCACATAAAAGAGATATTCAATTCCCGAAATACACCCCCTTCTTCTCCATCTTAATACACTTTTATTTTATTCCAAAAAACAACGTACATTTTTTTTTGGGGGGGGGGGGGGGAGATGGGGGGTGACACCCATGCTTGATAAGAAAAATAAAATTAGATCATGACCGTTTAATACATAAAAATCTGAACTAGTAAGTTGAAATGTTTTTTAAAAATGATAAAAAATATTTTCATTGAAGCAAGCATTTTTATAATAATATTAAATTTAGGCAGAAATTATTGCAACACAAGAATTTATCAAGGATTCAATTAAAAATTAAAAAAATTTAAACTGGAATACAGATTTTACAGGACTATGGACTATCGAATACTCATCCGTAGACCTGATACTGCCTGTTTGGCCTTGGTTTCTTTCTTCTTGATTACTGGGAAACATTTCCACAATCTAAATATTAAAGTTTTATTTATCTTGTGTGCCGTGTTCAAGGTTGTATAAAAAGTTAGTTTATCTCAAAGTGCTCGAAGGTTGTATAAAAAGGTTAGTTTATCTCGATGTGCCCCAAGGTTGTATAAAAAGGTTAGTTTCTCTCGATGTGCTCCAATGTACGGTAAATGTCTTCTCCTAAGATAGATAGATAAAAGCCTAATATGACGTCATTGATTATAGAGCCGTGATTGACATCATCTTAGGTTTTTATCTATCTATCCATCGGAGTACATTGGAGCGCATCGAAAGTAACCAACCTTATTATGCAACCTTGGTTAGGTTAGCTAAAGAACTGTAATAGAAAGTAAAGCTAATATGCAAAATCTTATTAGATTTTGGGTTAGTTCAGGGTTCTTCCAATAACATCAAATGATAAAAATAAACGGCCTAAAGTAGCTCGTAAAGAAGACTAAAGTAGCTCGTAAAGAAGACTAAAGTAGCTAGTAAAGAAGACTAAAGTAGCTCGTAAAGAAGACTAAAGTAGCTAGTAAAGAAGACTAAAGTAGCTCGTAAATAAAGTAGCTCGTAAAGAAGACTAAAGTAGCTAGTAAAGAAGACGTAAGCCAACTAAGAAAAATTGTATGCTCAGGCAGCAATCCTGAGAACTTTGGCAATAAGTTTTTATCAGCGTTTCGGATCCGGATCCGTATCATTTGGTCGGATCCGGATCCGTATCAGGAAACGTTGATATGGATCCGGGTAGCGCCAAAAATTAACCAAAACCATGGAATAAATAAATCAAAATGGTTCGTAAATGTATTATTTACATGACGAAAATTTTTCAAAATTATCTTTAATAATTTAATGTTTACATTTATATAATAGTAGTGACGACATTTTTAACTTTAAGATTACTCAGCGGCAAATGCTCACATGGCGGAAATTTCAAATATATAAAGTATTCGCAGAATCAAAAGTTACCTCGGATCCGGATCCGGATCTGTATCAGAGTCAGGATCCGGATCCGCATCAAAATGATACGGATCCGAAACACTGGTTTTTATAAAATCCAACTATCATTAAATTATATTTGAAGGCTATGTTCTAAGCAAATAATCCTATTTAAACTTGAATCATCTGAAAGTTTCAATAAATAAATTTTAAGTATTCACTCAAAGATATGTGAGCATCGAATGAAAATTTCATCACAAATATTGCCCACTGCATAAGGTTTCCGCTTCCGTATAAAAACCTTACGACACAATTTCTGCCTCAAATATTGAAGAAAAAGTTGACAAAAACAAAAGCACGTGAAATTCACTCTCTTCTCTTAGATCGTAATTACCTTAATGTTTCATCAGCTCCAGCAGATAGTAGAGTAGATGTGTCCGGGGATAAACAGAGGTGGAGAACCCTTTCAGTGTGACCTGTCAGCTCGGCGATCTATAAAACGTGCGATCTTATCAACGATCTATATAGGGTGTGATCATTTATAACAAGGATTTCTGGAGGGTTATCACTTTTATCAAAGAACCATGCATGAGGTTTTAAAAATTTTATCAAGGATCTTTGCAGGTTTTATCATTGCAATCAACGGTCCATACAGGTGTGATCATTTATAACAAGGATCTATTCAAGTTTTATCGTTTATATCAACGATCTATGCATGTTTTATCAGTTTAATTAATGATCAATGCAAGTTGCATAACTTTGATCAAGAATCTATGTGCAGTTTTATAATTTTTTTCAACTATCTATGCAGGTTTTGTCATTTTTATCAAAGATCTATGCAGGTTTTATCATTTTTATCAAAGATCTATGCAGGTTTTATCATTTTTCTCAAAGATCTATGCAGGTTTTATCATTTTTATCAAAGATCTATGCAGGTTTTATTATTTTTATCAAAGATCTATGCAGGTTTTATTATTTTTATCAAGGATTTATGCAGGTTTTAACATTTTTATCAAAGATCTATGCAGGTTTTATCATTTTTCTCAAAGATCTATGCAGGTTTTATCATTTTTATCAAAGATCTATGCAGGTTTTATCATTTTTATCAAAGATCTATGCAGGTTTGAACATTTTTATCAAAGATCTATGCAGGTTTTATTATTTTAATCAAAGATCTATGCAGGTTTGAAAATTTTTATCAAAGATCTATGCAGGTTTGAACATTTTTATCAAAGATCTATGCAGGTTTGAACATTTTTATCAAAGATCTATGCAGGTTTTATCATTTTTATCAAAGATCTATGCAGGTTTTAACATTTTTATCAAAGATCTATGCAAGTTTTAACATTTTTATCAACGTTCTGAAGTAACTTAAATAATCGAATATTTTAATTTTTTAGAAAAAAATCAGCCAAATCTTATTTTCGACTTTACAGCTAAAGAAGAGTTCTATCAGAATAATCTTGTAACATCTTTGATAAACTGTTAACATAATTTCAAGTGACTAGACATTCCGCCTTTCACCGATATTCTTAAAAGCGGTTTCAGATCAAGAATGCATGTGAAGATATCCATCATCTAATCATTGAAAATGAGAATTTTAAATTGAAATTTCTCAATAAAATGTATTGTGCACTTCTGCTTATGAAAAGATGGCAGAAATTTAAAATTGTAGAATTTATTACTTTAAGCTAGAAAACCGGTCAGATAATGGCTTAAAGGGAACTGCTGTGAATCAAACAATACCTTGGTCATTGAAGGATATTTCCAGATATTGATTTCGTTGCTAGGATATCCATGACTGCTTGCTAGTTCTTTATACTCCGTATTCCACACCAAACTGCAAACCTAAAATATTTAATATTTTTATCATATATTGACCAGATATTTGTTGTTAGAATTTTTGGTAAGTTTTATTTTTATTTACAAGTTCTGTTTTCCATACCAAACTGCAAACCTTACAACACATAAAAAACTAATATTGTTAATCCGTAATAGTTATCGATGGATATTGGTTGGTTTTATGTAAAACCTCTTATACCTCGTACGACAATTTTATGGTATTTTTGGAGTAGGTACAAAACAAATATTTTGCATTTCAATAAACTTTGATAAGATGGCACTTCAAGTTATTCTACTTGTATTAGATCTATTATCTTTGCAACCTGACAACATTGCAGATCGGGTTATTTCCAATACTCGGACCTAAACCTCATGCGTTGCTGTTATCTTTGCAACCTGGCAATATTATATTTCGGGCTATCTCTATCATGCAAAGTAAGCCTTTATACAATTATTTGCTCGTGCAATAATTAACACCCAAAGTAATAAACTTATTTTCTACAATGTTAATACATTTATTTACATAATCATAAATGCAAACATAACATTAAATAGAGAGAACTGATGACATAATTGTTAGCCTTGATCCCTTTCACTTATAAGGTTTCTTAGCTTGACGTTTAAGCACTCTCTCAGTTAGTTTACCGAGTCTAATGTGCATGACTGATACAGCTTTCAGTCCATCTATCAACTTTTTATCTTTACTGTTGCAGGTCTGCTGGTCAACCCGCTCCTGCATAATCTGGAGCAGATCCCAAACCTGGTTAGACAGCCTGTCACTGACCTCTTTCATAGTAGGGTCAGGATACAGCCTGTATTCTTGCTCCCAAGCCTTCCCTGTGTCCCAAACCTCAACTTGGGGTACAACAGCAGGCTGTCGGGAGCGAGTGATCTCAAGGGTAGAGGACAGGAGATCCATAATCTCCTTTCGGAGTTCCTTGACTTCTGTATCAAGCTTCTCCATCTTCTCTAGGACATCATGCATGTCCTCATCCTCTTCACTATCCTCTTCTACATCCTCAGCTACGTTCTCATCCTCTGAGGCTGGGACAGTGATAATAGGAGTGTCTCCACTGATAAGAGGAGTGAGATCAGCTGGATCAACTTCCTCTTCATCCTGCTCTACTTCCTCAATGTATGCGGGGTTCCGCACAATAACCGAAACCCTGTTCATCTTCTCCTGATGTAGCTCGTCCAGTTAAGTTCCCTCTGTATGCTGTCTGTTCGCTGTATGTAGCACAGGACCCAGAGCGGTAGTGTGCAGGAGACTTGTGTCTACTGCTACGGCTCGGGTTGTACTGATCCCTGAGACGAGATTTTAAAAGCTTAACCCGACTAAAACCCGGTCTTTGCGTCTGCTTAGACCCAAGTAAAGCTCAAGTCAAGACCCGATTTTTGGGCCTTGAGTTTAGTAAGAACCAACCCTCTTGGGTTTTACTCTCTTTAAGGCTCGAGTCTTCAGCAACTGATGATCGTAAATTTCGTAAAATCTTTTATATTTGTACATTTAAAATCTCGGGAACTATTTGTAGTGTCAAATTTTATTGAATATATAAAATAAGCATACTATGAAAATAATGTATCAACATAAAGTTTGAATTTCCGAAATTTACATCTCCTTGTCACAGCTGATCTGACAGCATTCTGTCTGCTACAGAGAGAAAGCTTGCAACACAGTCTCTCATTCGTCGAATCAGAACCAATCCTGACTTGGGTTCTATCTAAGCCCGAGTTGGGTTTTAGTCAGGTTTAAGCTTTTAAAATCTCATCTCTGGTATCCGGTTGTATTCAAGGGACTGTTCACTCTTATCAAGAACAATCCAAAGTACAACATTACGTTTTAAAAAAGTGTTTCGCTTGTTTTTCTGCTGAAACTTGATGAACGAAATAATCAAGTTTCGGTCAAAATCCACAGAACCGCAAAAATATATGTTTGCAGATCTAGATCCTTAAGAGGCCAAAATGTTGCGGCTCTAATCCTACCTGTGATTTAGTATCTAAACTGTTGATCATGGTTCCGTTCTGGCAATTCCAAATCCTAAAAATAATATATTTCATATTTTTGCTTTTTTGGCGAGAAATTTGAAATTTTGACAGGCCAGGGATATAAAAACTAATTTTTGTAATTTTGATTTTTTTGTTTTAAATTACAGAATGAAAATATTACAATAAAATGCAACACGATTTTTAACACTTCTAAAATATTTGACACGAGGTTTAGTTTAGAGGTTGAAAAATAAGAAACGAAATCATAAGATAAATTATTAGCTTTTCTCCTATTTAAGTAATTTTTTTCCCACCATGGAATGTGTGTATAGAGGGAAAGATTTGTCATAAAATAATTATCCCTACGGTTTACACTATGCAGGAACTACATATACCAAGTTAGATCCCTTCTTTTCAACTTAAACCGGTACAAAAGATAAGTGGTTAAAACAAACATACTTGATACATCTATCACTAGTTCCTCCTCCACTGGCGAGTACTCCCGGCTGCCAGGGACACCAGGCTAGTGCTCGTACAGCTGCCTGGTGCTGGGTCAAGGTCAGGTGAGGAGTAGATCCGGCGTGACAGTCTCCAGCTGTTGAGCTCCAAACACAGAGGAGGTTATCGTTCCCACCGCTAGCCAGGAACCTACCATCTGGAGACCATTCCAGGCCACAAACCTCCTTTATACATCATTATGTTAGAGTGATTGCAAGTGGTTCTGTTACAACTAACAGTGTGGTTCATTTTGGTTCGATTATCAAATCAAATCAAATCAAATCAAATCAAATCAAATCAAATCTCAAAAGTGTCAAGTGTCAAGTGTCAAGTGTCAAGTGTCAAGTGTCAAGTGTCAAGTGTCAAGTGTCAAGTGTCAAGTGTCAAGTGTCAAGTGTCAAAACTCAACACTTAGTAGTCAAGGATTGAAAAAACCCACCTGAGTGTGTGCATCTGATCGTCCGACCAAAAAATCTGCCACTCTAACATCACTATGGAGTATAGACCCGTCCCTACTCCCGGAGGAGAGAATGTACTGGTTCCAGGCCAGGCTAGATACACGGCTGCTATGCCCAGTCATTACACGGCTTCTCTTAGCTCGCTCTACATCCCACAGCTGCACCTACAAACAAACAAGTTCTGATGAACTAGAGTTTCAGTGTTCCTCAATCCGAAATAAAAATTCTAGGTTCTCTGTAAAAGTAAATTGAAGATTTTTGCTTCAGAAATAATTTAGAGGAAATTGACAGAATTAAACAACCACTTTTCAAGGTAAAATACCGACGGTATCTTCCTCATAAATGACAGAAAAAGTTTCAAATGGTCGTATATTGGTCATGTCCCTATTCTATTTTCTATTTTTTCCCTATCTTAATTCATTAATTTCACGATTTCAAAAAACACATTTTTGAAGTGAGTATTATTTGCAGGCTCCTTTTAACCCCGGAGAAACGTTTTTCCTTCTAAGGTCGAGAATAAAAGTTATACTTGATCTAAATTCAAATCATTTTCAAAACTATCTCTTAAGTGTGAATAAAATTATCGCACGCCATTTCTAATGATACAAGATATTTAATAAATTTTTACATTTTACTTTTTGTTATTTTAATACAAAAAAAGGGATTAACTTAAACAAAAAATAAGTCCGCATTTTTACCTCTCCAGAACTGCTGCCTACAGCCAAATAGTTTCCTTCAGCAATCCATCTTACACTGCATACATAGTCATCTCCTGAACATATCTTAGTTAATTCCTAAACATGTCTTGTTTAATTCCTGAACATATCTTAGTTTATTCCTGAACATATATCATTGTTAATTCCTGAACATATCAGAGTTAGTTCCTCAACATATCTTGAGTTGATTCCTGAACATATCGTAGTTAATTCCTAAACACATCATAGTTGATTTCTGAACCAATCATAGATGATTCCTGAACTATTTTAGTTTACTCCTGAACATTTCATAATTAATTCCTGAACATATATTAGAATTCCTGAACATATCTTCAGGGTGGCAAAAACTTAGAGAAAAATCCGTAGATTTTCAGTAAGAAATCCGTACAATCCGTAGATGTATGGAGAAAAAATTCGTACAATCCGTACATAAAGATCCGTACAATCCAAACATAAAAATCCGAAAAATCCAAACAATCCGTCAAAAAAAAAATTAGCTTTCAGAAAAAAATCCAAAATAAAAAATTTTATTTCTCATTTCTTTTATCATTCAGCTTTCTTTGTGTTCGTATGTGAGCAAATACTGACCTTAATGACTGCACTGTGCAGAGACGAAGATAATAAAGCCGGATGAAAAAAAATCACGATAAAATAAAAAATGCAATTTAAAAATCTGCTTGCTTTTTATGTTTTTACTTTTATGTAAACTATTCTTTAAATTTTCTTAATTGAAATGAGTATTGATTACCCTTATTTGCTAAGCTTAAAACTCATTATTTAGCAATAATAAATAGCCTTATGTATTAATTAAACAATCCTTAACCTTAAAACTTTATAAGATTTAAAGTTGCGATGATTTTTGTGAAATCTTTTTAACTTTATCAACAATCACCAGTCAACAGTGTTCCCAATAAACATGGGAATTATGTGACGACTTTTAGAAAGTCTTTGATTTTAAATTGTCATATTGATATTGATATAACAACCAAGGAGTTTACGAAGGCAGACCACATTTCGGAAAGTTTAAAAACATGTACATGTAAATGATGACGACGTCTGAATTCCCATGTTTATTAAGAACACATTATATAACATGACAAGCAACTAGGATTTGTTTGGTTTTAACTTCGTTAAATCCGGCTCTTTGTACTTTTTTCCGGGTAACTTATCAATTTCAGAAATATCTTAATTTTAAATGAAAAAAGAGAAATTTCATCCTAAGGAGAAGTGACTGTATTATAAAAAAGGAAGAACATTTCAAAATAAGATAATCTCTAATCCCCTTCCGTTCATAATGGATCAAAATTCTTTAGGTTTAGTACATGCGCTCTTCTTTCTGGGCCTCACACTTTTTAACAGAGATTGTCTGGTGTTTTTAAGTTTAATTTTTCACATTTTATTTTCAATTGTTATTAAATTATGAAAAAATTGACAGATTTTTTATGAATTAAAAAAAAGTGAACTGATAATCTGAGGTTTCTTTTTAAGCTAAAATTTTGGATAATCAATAACTATTTTTTGAACTTGAGCAAACTAAAAATAAAATTGGCATTTTTAAAAATAAACAAAAGAAAGCTATGGTACCGACATATTTAATGCAAACTTTGTTCAGTCGAAAAAATTAGCTATTTTTTATCAATCGGTACATTCCACAGCTCGCGTTTTTATCACAAATATTTGATCTAAATTATCTAAATTTTACAAATTGGTTGTAACAAAAAAAGTTAAGATACATAGAAATAAAAAATTTACACCTGGAAATAACTGAAATTTTTTGCGTTTCAATGACACCTTGATTGTGAAAATCAGACTAAAATTGTTCCCTCAGAACCAAATACCCATACCGCAAGGTTATATTTTCATGGGACTTCTGGAACAAATTCTCGAATGAACACTTTTTGAACATATTTCGAAAAGATTAAAGAATGAATTTTGATTGTCAATTGAAACAACAATCAACCTAATATAATTCGGAATGAAGGTAATAAGTTAAACTTCATTTTAACGACTTTTTTGAAAATTTTCATACAATTGCTTTTTCGAGAAAAATAATGTTTTCCGGGCTAAAAATCAAGAGAATCCGTACAATTTGAGACATTATCCGTACAATCCGTACAATTTTTTGGTAAAAATAAAAAAAATCCGTACAATCCGTACATTTTGGCCACCTTGTATATTAGTTGATTTAAAATTCTAAACATGTGCTCCAAGAGCAATTTCTAGGTGACCTACCTTCCATTGAGAGCAAGGGTGTTATACTTCCACTGATTGCATTCCAAATATATACATGTGCTCCGAGAGCAACTGCTAAATGATTATTACAACTCCAATCCACCAGGTTCAAGTAATAATCATTCAAGAGATCCGGGGCATCCAGTATCCTTTCGGCATCCTGCAATAAACAAGGTATCATTAAAGAGACTGTAAGCGTAATTTCAAGTGACCCTCCGTGAAGATGCCAATGCCTGATTTACAACGATACCCTTAAAAAGCTTGGTTTGATTGTAATTGTTGATTGGTAATTGTTCCCTGTTTTCCCTTTACTGACGCCTCTTGAAAGTTTTTTTTTACATAATAGAGATAAAAATTTCATAGTTCTAACCAGGGGGCGGGCATAACTCTCCTAATTTTGACTGGCTAGGTTTATACTGTACAGTGAATATTGTCGAAAAATGTTTCCTTATGACTGAGTTGGTATCATAGAGTACAGTGGGTTTAATCCTAAGTACATCTATTTGTACGGTATTGTGTGGACAATTAATTCTAATATTTTTCAACAATGAGATATTGTAGTGTCAAAAATTGTGTGAACAACGATGTTTCGGGTTAAGAAATTTTTCATAACATACGAAAATATATGGATAGAACAAGTTATCTGGAAGACAAAACACCCAATTTTTATATGCAGTGAACATTTTGACAAAAATTGTTATAGAAACAAAGAAAGCAAAATACTCAGAAATGGTGCAGTTCCCTCTATATTTAAAATGGGTTGTGTGAACAACTCATTACAGGTCGCAAGGCATGACCATTCATACCAAATTAAGTCTAACCTAATTTAGATCTATTATTAGTTCAGAATTGCTTTTCATTCTAAAAGGCAGAAACCAATATTCCTAAGAGTTAATGCACAATGTAGATTTCAGAAGTAAAGAATTTGATAAGAAACAAGATGTTAAAGGAGAAGGATTTTTTTTTTTTTTCTCTATTTGCCATGTCTCATTTTTATACAAAAATCATTTGGGCTTGTTTTCTTTGCTTGAATATTGTAGGCTTCTCTTTCAAACAATTATGTCTTAAAACACTGATCTACGAATTATGATCCCCCCAGGTAGAATTTCTGATCGGATCATTGTGTACAGTGGCTATACAACAAGAAGTCTAAAATTCCAGATGTCTCCTCTATTACTAATATCTCGATGGTTCTAACAAATCAAGGTTTATTTTGATCTTAAAAAGCTCATTAATGGATCTACTCGTAGATAAGGACAGCTACCAGAAGCTTTAAAAATGCTACTAAAAAAATCAGAACTTCTTCTAGAAGAATCAGGACTGCTACTAAAATCTTCGAAACTACTGCCAGAAGCATCAGGACTACAACCAACAGCTTTATGACAACTGCCACAAGTTTCAGGGCTTCTACTAGACGCTCAAAGACAGCTGCCAGAAGCTTCAAGTTTGCTACAATGCTTCAGACCTGCTCCCAGAAGCTTCAGTACTGCTACCAATACATTCATGACTGCTGCTTTAGTTTCAAATTAAACTTGTTAGGAGCTTATCTGATTATCAAAATTTCAGGCATTACCTAGGCAATTCGCCTAGGGCTTTCAAACTTTGATACAATATGCATTACTACATATTTGACCGACATATCTACCTGTTTGACCAGTATCTACCTGTTTGACCAGTATCTACCTATTTGACCCGGTATCTACATATTTGACAGATATCTACATATTTGACAGGTATCTACCTATTTGACCAATGTCTACCTATTTGACCGATATCTACCTGTGGTATATGACGGGTGGTTTTCCTGGCCGAATCTATAGGTTTAGAAGCACTGTACAGAACCTTCATATTATTCGCGTATCCATCAGAAGGAATGGGTGCCTAGGATATTCTAATGTTAGGCATTTTTTTATCCGTTTTATACATTCTTATGTTATGGGCTTTAAGAGGGTTCCAAACAAAAAAGTCGTTTGTTCAAGCTTTATCTTCCGCCAGAGTTAACTTTTTTCATAATTTTAGCTTTAAAGCATAAGACCTTAAAGTTTGTTAAACTTGGAACAATGAACATCACTTTAATTTTTTTTAGATTTTTATAAAATCTTAAATTCTTATTTATTTTACCCATCATTAATTTTTCTAACCTTAGTATTGTAAGCTAGTATCCTTGTTGTGGAGGTATCCTGGATATTTAAGTTCTCCTGTAAAACCTAAAATATAAAATAGTAATATTTTGTTGAACCTTTAAAGCCAAACAAAAATGTGAGAAAGTTATTTGATAAGATTTTAAAAACTCCAAATTGAAAAAAACCTTAATTTACAAGATTGGTCATTTCTCAAAAAATACAGTTTCATCACTATTAGACGAACCCTTAGATCTTCATAAGTTTTCAACTCACCCTTTGATATTCTCGTTTAGAGGGGGACATCATTTCTTGCTCGTTTTCATGTACACCCTGTAATAATAATTACTTTAAATTTCTCGTTTTCATGTACACCCTGTAATAGTAATTACTTTAAATTACTCGTTTTCATGTACACCTTGTAATAATAATTACTTTTAATTGCTCGTTGTCATGTACACACGGTAATAATAATTACGTTAAATTGCTTGTTTTCATGTACACCCTGTAATAATAATAACTTTAAATTGCTCGTTTTCAAGAACACGCTGTAATTATAATTTCTGTTATTGCGCACAAGGGTGTATATTTTCGGGAAAACTAATTCCCCCCCCCTTGGAAAATGTTTTTTTAAATGTGAAAATGCGGAGCTCACATTTTATTGATGTTTTATTTGCTGAATGTGGGAAAATGAATATTTTTTTTTTTTTTTTTTTTTGGGGGGGGGGGGGGGTGAATAATGACGTGTTAGGTCAGGGTTCCTCCCAGAGCAAATTTGAGTCAGTTTACCCAACTGACCTGCCACTTTCAGATTTGATATTTTTGGGCAAAAATCTGCCAATTTAGGGGGGAAAAATGCCAATTTAGAGAACTAATCTGCCAATTTAGGGGAAAAGCTACCAATTAACGCGCATAAAATATGCCACAAACATAATGTTAATGTATGAAATCTTCCACACAAATCATGAATTAGCTTTAAATCTGCCACAAACATAATCTTAAAGCATGAAATCTGCAATAAAAATTATGAATGAGCTTTAAATCTGCCATAAACATAAACTTAATGCATGAAATCTGCCACACAAATTATGAATGAGCTTTAAATCGGCCACAAACATCATCTATATGCATGAAATCTGCCACAAACATAATCTTAATTCATGAAATCTGCCACAAAAATAATGATTGAGCTTTAAATCTGCCACAAACATAATCTTAAAGCATGAAATCTGCCACAAAAATAATGAATGAGCTAAAAAATGGCACAAAAAAATGTTAACACATAAGAAATGCCTCAAGTTTTCACTGAAAGTATTCAGATGCATAAAATCTGCCACAAAAAAATCACCAATAAGGGTAAAATCTGCAAAAAAATGTTAACACATAAGAAATTATATAGAAAGTTATACCCTGGGCCTGACACACCTCTATCTAAAACTAAAAAGAATTGCCACACATGAAATTAAAGCTTGGAAACTTAAATCCTAAATGCATATAATCTGCCACAAAAATTTATTAACAAGCTTGAAATCTGTCACAAAATTGTTTGGCACAAAAAAATGCCACAATTGCTATACCAGCTGACACATGCAATCAAAGCTTAGAACTTATGCCACCTTAAATATTAGGGTGGGGGCGGTGAATTTTCTAATGATTCCCTCCCACCATCATGCAGCTGTAAAGCCAGTTGCTTGTAGGTCGGATGTGTAGTTTAGCGGATTTGACGTAAATCAGAAGTTGAGTATAGCGGATGTGCGTAGGTCGAAAGATACGCCATCAGTTCTGCTAAGGGTGAACGCGCAAAAAGTGTAAATCTGAGGCCTTTTCTGTTATTGGTTAAAGTTTTCGCGGGCTGTGTGCAAATTCTGTCGCTTTTTCATTGTAATTGGTTAAATTAAGCGTCAAACATGTGTTCCCCCTTTTAAAAAGCTAATCTGTGCACATACATGACTTCACAAAAAATTTTGAACAATAAAATTTAAAAAAAAACCCCAAAGTTTCATGAAAAACAGTAATGAAAATCTTATGGGAGGGACATGGTCATTGACCTTTTAACAACACCAAAACGCTCTATTCTACTACCAAAATCCAAAAAATTTCTCTGCAAGGGGGGGCTCTGCCTCCTTTCAACCCCCAACCGCAGAAAACTTCTTCGAAGTTTTCGCGGGCTGTGTGTAAACTCTGCCACTTTTTGATTGTAATTGGTTAAATTAAGCGTCACACATATATTCCCCCTTTTCAAAGCTAATCTGTGCAACTTGACTTCAAAAGAAATCTTAAACAATAAAATATAAAAAAAGTTTCATGAAGAATAGTAATGAAATCTTTAAGGGGGGGACCTGATTATTAACCTTTTTACAGAACCAATAATGCTCTATTCTACTAATAAAATCCAAAAATTTTCTCTTCTTCTGTGTGTAAATTCTGTCGCTTTTTTATTGTAATTGGTTAAATTAAGCGTCACACATGTATTCCCCATTTTCAAAAGCTAATCTGTGCACATACTTGACTTCAAAAAGAAATCTTAAACAATAAAATATAAAAACCCCAAAGTTTCATGAAAAATAGAAGTGAATATCTTATTTTATGATCCTGGTTATTGACCTTTTTACAGCACCAAAACGCTCTATTTTACTAAGAAGTCACAAAATTTTCTCTACAAGGGGGCTCTGCCCCCCTTGCGACCCCCCTGTGTAAATTCTGCCAATTTTTGAAAATCTGCCACTTTTGCTTTTATCCTGACCTGCCACAAAAAACCTGGGAGGAACCCTGTGTTAGATAATAAGTATAAAAAAGAATGGAACGATTGTCTTTTGGTTTCCGATTTTCATTTTCTCCCTTATCATCAAAAATAATTTTTGCTATTCTAAAAAAACCTTTATAGTTTATACCCCTGCACATTTAAAAATTATATGTGAAAGCTTTCATCAAATGGACTGTCTGCGTATTTACATCGGTAACTTTGAAACCTTTCTGAGAAAAATGTAGAAGAAAACGTCGTCTTTCTTGAAATGCGTTACTGTTAAGTTCTAATAATTTTTCCATTGTTTCATAAGAGTATGAAATGCAGAAGTCAGTTCAGCGGAGAAACCACTAATAACAGTTAATGGACAAAAAACATGGATATCTTATTCATACTTGATCAGACAAGGCATTCAAGGGTTCCGTTGTAAATCGGGCATTGTCATCCTTGTACGGAGTGTTACTAGAAATTACGCTTTAACTTTTATCTAATATATTTTACAAACCTCTTTCATAATCTTGTAGTGTGCTGCTTCTAGATCCATGTTACTTCTGTTCGGGATAAACCTAGAATTAAAAAGAATATAAAAAATTAGAAGTAATTGCCTATACTATCTATACTATTGCTTGAATATATAAAAACAATTAAGGTGTCCAACTCAATTCTCCATTCGCATTAACGATTTAAGACAGAGGTTTTGATTGTCAGTATCCAACACAAAGGATCGGGATTATGAGAATCCAACACAAAGTTTCCCAGGACTTAATACCTGTATGTACAGCTTATCGTGTTTTCGATTATGCCAGATGTTCTTAAAAATTGAAGAAAAAAAAAATCGAATAATGCCAAAGCTTCCCATAATTCATCTCTCATCCTTCATCTCTCATCTCTCATCTCTCATACTTCATCTTTTATCTTTTATCTCTCATCTCTCACCTCTCATCCTTCATCTTTTATCTTTTATCTTTTGGGGGGGGGAGGGGGATTTATATCTGAAGAAGATATATCGTTAAATCCACAAACCTGTCTCCTGGAGTTTTCCTGCCCGGAGTACCATCCTTAGATCCTCCTCCACCCAGCCGACCAGGAGACTTCCTGATTGAGGGACGCATCACATTACTGGATCAAGGGGTCAATATTTTTAAGAAATTATTCTTGAAGCTCTGGGGGAAATAAGACAACATTTGGGACATCAAAATGTTAACTTTTTCATCCTCTTTAAAACTTTTAACCCAAAATTTTATTCATTTTCATTTAAACAATCATTTAAGGGTGGGGCGGGGTAATTTCTCAAGAAAATATATAACCCAAATTTGTATAAAAAAGGAAATAACATTATGTTTAACAGTGGATTCCATTTCTAATTTCAGATTGAAAAAAAGGCAGAACAAGAAAGATTTGAGTTTTTAAACTTTCATAATTTTTATTTCGTATTGTAATTATTTTAGTAGAAAATATTGAGGTTCTTTTCTTCAATATTTTTTCAATTGGTTACTTTTTAATGTTTAATTTTAGAAGCATGGCTCAACTTTGAACTGGCAGCTTCAATCCGTTCTTCTCTACAAAGACTCTCAATCATTAAATTTTTCCTTAAATACCAGTTCAAACATTTCTAATAAGTGGGAATGGAACAATTTTTCAAAACTTTAAAGTTTTATACCTGGGGGTCTTTGAAGGTGTTTTCCTGGTTAGTGGATCTCCGGATCTCTTCAGGCTTGTATTAAAAATGCCTAAAATAAACAGCTTTTCAATAATATATTTTTCTACCTTTAAAAAGCAATTATTGAATTTAAATTTGAAGAAGGACGATCCGTTTTGTTGTGTCTATTTAGCGCACAACATAGTTTCGAGAATATGATGTGAATAAAAGATGAAAAAATGAACAATTAAAGGGATTGAAAACATAATTTTAAGTGACCCTCCATGCAAGAATATCAATGCCTGATTTACAAGTCTAATCGCGATCGAATGAATTAGATATGTATGTTTCTGTTTATTTAAACTGTTTATTTTCATTTGTGGTTTCTGTACAAAATTGACTTGTGCATTTCTTACACAACGGTGAAATTCCTGGAAAACACAACGTTATCTTGCACATATTTGATCAGATTTGCATAAAGGGTCAAATGAAATTACACGTACAGTCCCTTTAATTACGTAATTGTTAAATATTTCTGAATAAAAAAATATCTGACCTAGACTGGTGTTTAATGTAAAGGAACTGGTGAAGGAGCTTTCTAGAACCTTCCTCTGAAATCTAAATAAAACATTTCAGATATAAGTTGGTTAATCAGGATTGGTTTAATACATTTTGGGGCCGATCGCTGTGGCTAGGACTGGCAGGGGGCCATGTGTCACATAAAGGATGGAAGGGGGGGGGGGGGTCCAAAAATCGTTCTCTAGGACAGACCCCAAACCCCAGAATGTAATTTGAATAAATGTTTACAAGAATCCAGAATTTTGAGCTACATATTTTCCAAGCCTGGCTAATTACATAGTAAACGATTTTAGGCCCCCCCCCCTCATATCAATTTTTGTACACATGGATCTTATATTTTAGAACATGGATATAACAAACCATGTGGCCGCAGCACTCGGCCCCTAGCCTGTTCTAGCCGCGGCGCTCGGCCTCCTAGCCTTTCCTTTTTTTAAATTGTTGAAAATGAAGGCCCGTCCTGGCCGCAGCGCTCGGCCCCCTATCCAAAAACCGTATACTAGGACGGACCCCAAGCCTGCATCCTTCCTGCTAATTCTTCTGACGAAAAATAAAAAATGTTACCTATCAATTCCTTTACCACCTCTTAACGAAGAATCCATTTTTGATTATTTTCGCTATATCTAGTTTGATCTTGCTTTTCAGGATGAAATCTGAAAAAGAATTGAAAAATATATGTAAATTAACAATGTAATGATAATAATAATAATAATAGTTAAGGCTCTCACAAAACTTTACATTTTACCAAATATCATTATAATCACTGATAACAAACACATTTGTTAACTGCAGTTGCGCAATGGAATAAAATTAGACGATATCGTCATGTTCTCAGGACTCTAAGGAATTTGTGTACTTTCCGTTTATAACTTTATATTTAAATCTACCCGCTTACACTGTTTCAGGTCATATGATGTAATCTCGGCTTCTCATTGGTCAGATTCAGAATACTCTTCTCTGATTGGCCAAACCCTTCATAATACTCGCTTGTGATTGGTCCAACTGAACAGCTGTTATATAACCGCAGGAAACGGACATTTAAACTATTTTAACCCAACGGGAATTTATTCATTTATGGGAAATTTGATTTTAAACTGCACCATCAAGTTTAATTAATTTGCATGATAATGGTTTAGTACAATACCCGAGTTTATACACTAATCTGTCAAACTTAGATTAAAGTCTTGTTATAATTGGGGGGGCCGCGGGGGGAGGGGGAAATAACTGTAAAATATTGTGAGGAGGGCCGGTGGAGGGGGGGAAGGTGACCCGCCCCCGTATTACCTCCGAGTCCGACTCAAAGATGACATCTCAAAACGGGATTTGCGTCATCATAGCACTGTGCCTTCCGACCCATCACCCGTTTTGGCTTCCGGCAATATTTTTGTATATTCTAATAATTCTAATTATAGACGAATGCAGCATTTATTCAAATTTAAGCCGTCATATACCCAGCTAACAAAAAAACCGACTTCGGTTATATTGCCTCTTATGTACAACAGGCTTTGCTAGAGTTGGGCGGAGCTTGATCATCATGTCTGATGTAGGTCCTGGCGCGTATACTATAAATGTCACCCACGGCCACCTGGATCTGTCGTACATATGATATGTAATCTGTATGACAGCGCAGATATGAGCGCCATATCTAAACACTTTGATTTTTGTACATATGTAGTATATACTAAATTGAATGGTTTCTTACCGATGTAGAATGTAGACATTTGTGAAAATGTCACCTATTTACAATGTAGATATTGTATTGGTTGGATTTACAACAGGCTTCTTGGTTGGATTCACAACAGACTCATTGGTTGGATCACAACAGACTCCTTGGTTGGATTAACAACAGACTCAATTGGTTGGATTCACAACAGACTCAATTGGTTGGATTTACAACAGACTCCTTGGTTGGATTCACAACAGGCTTTCTGGTTGGATTCACAACAGACTCCTTGGTTGGATTAACAACAGACTCAATTGGTTGGATTCAAAACAGACTCCATGGTTGGATTCACATCAGGCTCCTTGGTTGGATTCACAACAGACTCAATTGCTTGGATTCACAACATTTTGTTTATAAAGAAGACACTTCGAAAAATGCTTCGGCGCAGAACTTAATCTGGTAGTTTAGGCGGCTTAAGTCTTCCTCCCCCCGTTTATCCTTGAAATCATCTCTGGATTGACCCATCCAACATCTCAGAACAAAACCCTTCAGCTTATAACTTAAAATTTCCCTTCAATATTTAAAATTATAACTTTTTTTACAGGATCCTATATTTTTATTTTTATTCAACAGTAACTCTGACATTTTACAAAAACTTTAAAATTATCAATTTGTTGATCAGTTTCCCCAAATTTTTGGTCCGTTTTCTCGTATTTTTGATCCGTTTCCCTCTTTTTTCTTTTAAAATCTTAATTTGTTGATCGGTTTCCTAACACTTTTGGTTCGTTCTTAATATTTTTGATCTGTATCATGCTTTTTTAAAAAACTGTTTAATTTAATCCCAATTTGTTGATCGGTTTCCTAAAATTTTTGATCCATTTCTTCATATTTTAATTATTTTATCCATTTCCGCTTTTTTAAAAAAAACTTTTAAGATCTCATTTTGTTGATCGATTTCCTCAAATTTTTGGACCAGTTCCTCTTTTTTTGACCCGTTTCCCCTGATTACAAAAACTTTAAAAAGTTTGATTGGTTTCTTCAAAATGATGGTTTTTTCCTCATATTATTTATCCGTTTCCACTTTAATCCCTATATCTTTGCAACCAAATGTTGTCAACCTTAGATGTGTCAAACTTTGAATTCTGTTAGAAAAATAATCTTAGTTTAAAATATAAAGGTTGTACCATCAGGATACACAGAGATATGGATTGGAAAATTTTAGTTTGTGGAGAAAAAGACTTACATCCTCTCAGGACATGTTCAGAGTTGATCAAGTGTAATTATGACAAAATACAAACCGAAAAACTAAAAGACAATTTTTAAAGAACTGAATTTTTGTCACTAACTTAAATTTCATAATCCCTTTATCATTGCAACCTGATGGTGTAAACCTTCGATATTCAAAACTTGAATATTTGTGCTTACAGAATTCATAGTTTAAAATAACAAAGGTCTACAACGTTTAGTTGCACAGACATAAGGATTATAAAATCTCTTAAATCTCATCTCTAATCTTTCATCTCTTATCTCTCATCTCTCATCGTTCACCTCTCATCCTTCATCTATTATCTCTCATCTCTCATCCTTCATCTCTCATCTGTCATCTGTCATCTCTCATCTCTCATCTCTCATCTCTCATCTCTCATCCTTCATCTCTCATCTCTCATCTCTCATACTTCATCTTTTATCTTTTATCTCTCATCTCTCACCTCTCATCCTTCATCTTTTATCTTTTATCTTTTATCTCTCATCTCTCATCCTTCATCTTTTATCTTTTATCTCTCATCTCTCATCCTTCATCTCTCATCTCGTAATTCTCATCTCGTATCTCTCATCTTGTACCTCTCATCTCTTTTCTCTTATCTCTCATCTCTTGGGATTATGTAAAGTCATGTGGACACTCCGTTATAGTAATTAATGATGATAACAAAAGCTCAGCAAAAACCTAACCTTGATTTCAAATTTATAAATATGATGTATATAAAATCGATATTGTGTTATGTTTTGTCCAGTTCGTCCAGTTCTGGCTGTTAAAGTACTTTTTTTCCAGAAAAAATTGGTCCTCATTTTGCTGTGAAAAGTTTTAGGAAAAACACCCTGATTTGGCAACTTTTTGTCGTTGATTGGCCGTGAAACTTTGGTCCCGATTTGACTGTGAAAAAAATCTTGGTCCCGATTTGGCTGTGAAAAAAATCTTGGTATCGATTTGACTGTGAAAAAAATCTTGGTCTCGATTTGGCCGATAGAATCAAGTGTTCTGAAAATTGAGTGACTGAAGTCGTTTTCTCAGATCAGCACAGTAAAAACCATAACACTTTGAAATAGAAAGACGAAATTTAGATTCATAATATGACATTAAACATGGGCCTATGTCAATTGTCCTCCAATAATTTGTCCTACAAATCATTTGTCCTATGCAGGGCGGTAAAACTGCAATTTCCTAATAAAAGCTTCAGATTTGTGTCTATTCTTATGTCTTAAATCATACTTAAGCCATGCTTACAGGTATTAGATTTAGGTTAAAATTTTTTGTAAAAGATATCAAACATTAAACTTTAAATGTTTTATAGCTAAGCTATCATCTTATGTCTTAGTTGAAGTGTTTGAATTCTATCGTGTAATAATTTCAGACAATTATTTCCCTTGCATTAAAAAAGAAAAGGAATTTTCTTCAAACTAACATTTTATTTCATAAAAAAAGGCAACAGATTATATTTTCTTTAAAGTAAAATGTGACCGAAACTTTCATTAAAACTTTTACACCAAACTCCAAACCATTTAAGTTGCGAAATTTCAACTCCAAGTGGCAGGGTCAGTGATACATCCTTGTCTCCACTAAATTTTTCCAATTTTTGAATTATATGGACGTTAACACCTGCACTTGGGTATGGTAAACATACACCTCCAGGCGCGGTCCCATTCAATGCAGGGTTTTCATAGAAGCTCCCCTCCAGTCCATTCCCATCATAGTTAAACGTTCTTATCAGGACTCCTTCTTTAGCAAGAGCGAACAAATTTTCTAATTTTGTAAATAAATCAATGCCCGCACTTGGAAAGGGTATTAATATACCCTCCACTGATGGCCCATCAACTAAAGTACTAGCAAAGAAAAACGTTGCTGGTGCAGTCCCATCGTAAATAAACTTCTTAATCAGGAGTTTGTTTGTTCCAACAGCGTACACATCTCCTGACACATCATGCATCTCAGTACTAAGTTTTCCAAGGAACATTTCTGGATGCTGTTGAACATTGGCAAGATGATTTTGATGTTCTCCACCTTGAGGCTGATGCCGATGGTGTACAAGCTTGTTTTTGACGCACCTAACCATCTTTCTTGATCCAGGTTCACAGATTTTTCTTTACAACAGAGTAATAATATCTTTTGAAAGAAGCAAAATAGAGAAAAGTATACTGTATATTGTATAAGCACAGTAAAACTCTAGATAACCCAGAATAATATAAATTTATCAATGGCTTCAAAGTGGGACTGAGCAAGTTCCCATTTTTTTTTTAATTGTTCCATTCTGTTCTATAAAGAGGGCCTTCAGCTAGATGGGTTGTTCTCATTCCTTTTTTCCCAATCATTCCGTTCTTGTTCTGTTCCGTTCACTTCTTGGTGTTCCTAGTCAAAGAACGGTTCCATCCCCATTCTGTTCTTAGTCAAGAACGTTTCCATCCCCCGTTTCTTAAAAGGGTTGGGATATAATTTGTAGATTAAAAAAGAACGATTAATTTTCATAATCAATATTTCAATAATATTAAAAAGATATATAAAAAATTATAGAAAACAATTTATTTCAACCTTACTCTCCCCTCCCTCACGGGAGAGGGAGGCCGGGGAAGGGGGGGTTCAGAGTGTGGGGGGGTCAGGTGATGAAATTAAAAAAAATCTTTTGATTATTTCTAGATGATTTAGAACACATTCCTGATTTAAAATGCATTCCAACTTAGAATGATGTTCTTAATAATAAGAAGGCGTTCCTGATTTTAACGTTCTTTTCAAG